GCTCCTGCTTCGATTGTGCTGTGCTGAAGAGGATTGCCCCCCATCCTGCCCCCCTCACACTGAACACACCACACGGGCAGGCTCATGAGAAACCAAGGAACCCCTCTCTGAATCACAAGAACACCCAGAGCTGGAGGACCATCACCTCAACCATCTCCCAGGCCTGAGGTGGCATTCATCGGATCCTCCTTGCACAAGCTTTGTGGTTTGGCTTTGGCAGAACAATTATAACTGGACAAGTGCTGAAATACCCCAGTGGGTGAGAGCAGAGGTTGAGGAACTGCCCAACCAGGGCCTGGGATGGGGATGAACAGCCTGCCTGGATCAGCTGAGCCTCCAGCAGCTGCCCTGCCTGGTCCCTGTGCTGCTGACAGCCTCACTGTGCTCAGCAGCAAGTCAAACTAGAAGGAAGGGCTGGATTTTCCTCCCAACATCTTTATTCTGGTGTCATCAAAATCCATCTAAGTTCTGATTAAAAGGTCGAATAAACCGATAAAACCTATCAGTAGAACAAAACTCTCCATCCCTAAACCAACACACAAGCACTGCTTTGTGCAGCATCCCTCATCCCTGCTGCAACTGGCACTGCTGGCATTGTCACTGTCACTGTCCTGCTGGCTGCCATTGCTCTGCCCAGCACAACTGGAGCTGTGATGAGCCTGAAGCCAGTGTGGTTCCTGAGCCAGGGCTTGTTCCTGGATTGGTGCATGGGACTGGTCTGTGTTTCACATCACCAGGCTGCATTTCACATCAGGGCTGCAGTGGGAAGGAAGTCACCTTCAGCTGGGGTGAGTGGTGACATTTAAAACAAAATGTGTCACTGCTGTGGGAGCACTTTGCTCCTGCTGAAAGTCGGGTGGTTCACGTGAGGGAAGGAGAAATGCACAGTGGGTTTTAATTTCCTTGCCAAACCTCACTTACAAACACTCACACAATTTTAATGAAACTCTCAATGAGTCAGTGCTCTTTTATAATACTTTAGTTAAAACCAGAAAACACTGTGAGGAGGACTGAGAACTGAGAAGTTCTCACGAACTTTCCCAGTGCCAGATGTTAAATAACAGTGGTTGGGAGAGGAGCTGCAACCTATCCCTGCCCCGAGCTGGGCCTGGGTTCTGCAACTTCCCCCAAACACCTCCACTGCTCCCAGCCCCAGCACCTGCCTGCAAATGCGGGGGTGGGGGGGGTTCTGTCACCTGCAGCACTCATCAGTGCAGGAACACTCCTCATATTTAGCTTGCTGAGATGGGGAGTCTGAGCATTCCTGGTTTGAGGCCCAGGCATGGATAAGGACTGGAGCCAAAGGCGACAGACACTTGCAGCAACTCCTAATGCATAATGGTGAGCCAGAGGCAAAGGTGGTGGGCTCTGTTCTCATCCAGGAAGGCAGATCAGCTGCCCACGTGGATTGCTCTGAACATGTTTTTCCTGCACCCAAAACTCCCGATCCAGCTGGAAAGCCCTGTAGCCTCCTGTCATGTGGAGGATCAGCTGAGATCCAGACCCATCCCCTGTGTGTGCACAGCACACTCAACCTGTTCCACAGCACACACTTAGGCTGTCCCTAATCCTGCAGACCTGGACACTGCCAAGTTTGGGGTTCTGCTGCCCAAGCCCCCTGAGCTCCCACTGTGAGCTCAGCACAGGCAGAAGTGTGGCTGGAGAGAATGTGCTCTCTGCTACCAAGTGCAGAAAAGGACCAAGGAACAGATCAGGGATGTGAGTCAATGCACAGGCACCCCCCTAACCAAGGCTTTAGCCCCCAAAAGGCAAAGGGACTGCTGAGCAGTCCCTGAAGAGGGGGAACAGGAGCAGAGATGACACAGGACTGCTAATGTTCACATTCACTGAGGCAATCTGAGTTACGGTGTTGCCGAGCTCTGCACAACACAAGAACAAGGAACATGAACTGAAACACATCAAACCCTGCCTGAGAGCAGGGAACACCTTTTCACTGTGGGGGTGACCAAGCACTGGCACAGGTTGTCCAGGGAGGTGTTGGAGTTGCCATGCTTGGAGATATCTCAAAGCCTTCAGGACATGGTCCTGGGCAACCAGCCTTGGGTGGCCCTGCGTGAGCAGGGGCTGGACCAGACAGATCATCACAAGCTCCACCAGCTTCCTGTGATGGTGTAACCAGCAGGTCTAAGCAAAACGGGTAAATCACTGAGGCCTAGAGTTAAGCAAGAAGATGGTGTTGGAGCGGCAGAAAGAGGCAGCAAGGAGCAGAAGGAAAGCAGCTCGTTCTCTGCAGGGTGAAATGCAGATTTTCCTGCCTTACACTACTGAAAGTCAACATATGGGTTGTACATTTGTGCAAGAGTCTTTGTGTGGGCCTGAACAGGGCACAGTCCAGCTGCAAAATCAGGGAAAACTCCCAAACCCATAACCAAAGCCTTCAGTGCAGTGTAATCACTGAGGTTTCCTTTCAGCATCATCACATGCTGTCCTGGTTAGGGGAAGAAAGTATTTCTCCAAAGCAGAATTTCTCTCTAGTGTAGAGTTTCATGCAGTGAATCACATTTTCCTTCAAAAAACCCCTGCCTAAGTAAAGAGGGGGTTTGTGGCAGCACTGGGAACCAAAAGGTGGGAGAAATAATAATAAGGAAATGCAGTATTAAAAAAAGTCTGTAAGATTAGAGTCTTTGAGTGATGGCTGGCAAAGCCTGCTTGCTGCCTGCTGTAAGGGGTGCGTGGTAGGAATGGCAGATCTGGAATTTTTAACTACTTCTCATCCAAGGGTTCTCTGGATAATATGGATCTGAGGATAAATCAGAGCCAGAGCCTTACCAGCAGCCTCTTCCCCGAGGAAATGCCAGTGCTGGGCCAGTCTGTGCTGCCCTGGAAGATGAGGCTGATACTAATTTCTAGTTAGAGAGATGACATAAGGTCAAGTGTTCTTGAGCAGGATGTCTGCTATGTTGTTGTAATGTCTCTGCACAGAGTCGGAAAAGGGTGGGGGAAGACTCTTTCAGGGACTGGAAAGGAAGAGGAGAGACGTGGCAAACATCCAGCAGAAGCAACTCAGATGCTCAGATACCATCGTGGGCAAGAACACCCAGTGTGAGGAGCAGAGAAGCAGCTCAGACACCAGCTCAGGTGACACAGGAGAACTGCACCCACAAGGAGCTGCCACTGCCCACTGGGCTGCTCTAGGTTCTCTGTTGCAGAAGAGTCAGGATCTCAGGTTTGAGGAGGAGCTTTTTCTCCGTTTGGTATTTCCCCACCCCAGAGTTAGTATCAGCCTTTAGTAAACAAACCCAACACTGGAACATCTGATCCATCTGGCAGGTTCCCAATAGGAAGGTCACAGTTGCTGGTTTTCATGGCTTATGTGCTGTCTCTAGGGCTTTCATGACATTTGATCCCAAAGGACAGGGATTAGGACCATCATGAACTGTCTGGTCTCACAGAAAGATTTTAAAAGCCAGGATATTAGAAACATTACTTTCACAAGACCAAAAATAACAAAGTTTCTCACAGCAGTCAGCAAACTGAACTGTGAAGGCGTGAGAGGAACCAGGGGATATCATTTAGGAGCTCCAGAGGAAAGATGAGAGGGAGGTAAGGTGTAAACCTGCCCTGCTCAGTGCTAGATGAGGATGGGGCTCATGACTGACTTCAGCTGAAGTGAAAATGTTATTTAGACCATTCATCCACTAAATGGATCACAGGCTGCAGTTATTCCCACCTGGAGTGCAGAGATTTCTCAGGCAGTGGTAATTCCAAGACAAGAAGATGCTGCACAGGAGTTGTAAGCACGGATCATCAAAGAACAAGCTCTCTCCAGTTTCTGCAGGCAGGGATGTCCCAGATGGGGTGGGGGGGCACACTGGCTTTCCCCAGTGATGTGCCCTGGCTCAAGGTGACAGGGCATCGTGTAGTGCCCATGGAGTCCTGCCTCCCTCACATGTCCCCAAGAAACCTTGAAGGTCTTGGAGCTTTGCCTGCTGGACCATGCACCTGCCTGCTGAGCTTCTTTCTCTCCTGCTCAGGCTATGCCTGTAGAGGCAGTGACTGCACTATGAGGGGCTTTTAGCAGCTCCAGACAACCCAAATACATCTGGCCAGGGATGTCTTAAAGCAGGGGGGCACAACGCTTCTCTTCTCTGACAGCTACCAGCAGATGGATAAGACACGGCTGGGGTAGGAAACTCTGACCCTGTCCCTGGGAGTGCTGACTGAAGGCTCCTAAAGCCTCAGGGCACCTTGCCCTGCCAACGCCCACTGGAATACAGAGGCAGCCACGCAGAGAAGGGCTGGGCACTGCAGCCACAGCACCTTCTCCTCTTCCTCCTCCATCTTTGGTTCCTTGGCCAGCCAGGGCAAAAGGGGCAGGATGTAGCACAGCCCTCACCTGCCACTGCAAAAAGCAGGGTACAGTGACACTGATTCCTTGTGTGAGCTGGGGCAGAGGAACGAGCAGAGCTGGAGGAAGTGTATTTTGGGTAAGGACTGTATTTAAATTTGATACAACCACAGCATGCTGAGTGGGACATCACCCTCCAGTGCACAGACACCCTTTCCAAAGAGAGCGAATAGGAGACACATCAAAATGAGACCAGGACATGGAAAGCCAAGCACTGATGCACTTTGGAAATGTATCCAAAGCAAAATCTCCCCTAAGAGAAATCACAGAATCATGATACAACAGTCTGTGCTTCTGGGCTCCCAGCCTCGCTCTTTCAACACCTTCTCTGGTGCTGCAGTGAGGGTGAGTGCAAGCCCTCCTCAGAAGAAATGAATAAACATCCCATGAACTCAAATACCCAGCTGTTCAGTTTTCAGTGTAGGACTCCACAGGCTGATCCTCCACATGGTTTTGATCAGCTGGCTTGAAGGCTGAAGCATAAAAGATCCAAAACACGCTCTAGCTGAAGGCATTGTGGCTCTGAACCACCTGAGGGGGTGCTGTGCTATGGCCCTGCAAGCTGATGTGGAAGGAGAAATTCATCACCAAAACATTTGGAAGCTGCTTCCTCCATGACACTGAGCGCTGGTTTCATGAGGCACTGACGAGTTTAACCTTTTGCTTCCAAAATAATCATTAGCATAATATACAAACACAGTGTAAGAGAAGAGAAAGTTGAAAAATAATGTTTAAAAATACTTGCCTTTAAAAATTCAGCCCTTCCTATGTTACCAAAATCTAAAGGGATTTAAAGGGATGGAGCAGTTGCTGGCTCTGAGCAGCCTTTGGTCCCAAAGCATTAGGAGCTGGTATGTTTTTCAGGTCAAGTTCCTAAGTTCTTCCACTGTCTTCAGTTCTGCTTGTCTCCTTTGTGTTTCCAAGGGTAGATGAGCTCCCCAAGGAACAGCTTCTTGCAGAGAGATGCCCAGGAGTCCCTGGGATAGCAGCTGTAGGTGGGCAGTCTGTAGGTCTGGACCACACCTCCGTAGGAGAGCGGGTTGATCTGTGTGGAGAAAGAGGGACAGCAGCAAGGGAAGCATCAGTCCTGCTCCTCACACAGCATCAGAATCCCTCCCTGGCTTGCTAAGGTTGCTTATCCTTCTCCAACATCCCCCAACATTAACAAATTGAACTTGGCAAGGAGTGTTACTGGACTCATTCCCAAGCAGAGGGGCAGACAAGCAGCAGCACTAGAGCTGGGGGAATGAGAGGGGCGTGTGTTACACACCAGCGTGGAGGGGACAGTGGCTGGAGAGACAGGAGACAGCAACAGAATCACAGAATCATGGAATTTTTTCATTTGGAAAAGACCTTTAAGATCATTGAGTCAAAGCCTTAACCCAGCATTGCCAAAGCCACCACTAACCCATGTCCCCAAATGCCACATTCCACACAGCTTTTGAACATCTCCAGGGATGGCGACTCCCCCACTGCCCTAGGCAGCTGTGCCAGCAACTCACCACCCTTCCAGTGAAGAAATGTTTCCTAATATCTGATTTAAACCTACATCTAGAACTGCACAAAGGATGCACTGGGACTCCAGGAACTCCTCTGGAATAGACCAGTTTAGCTGTACCTGTTTTGAGCCCTCAGCCCATAGCCATGTGTTAAATTAAACCTGGTATCACCCAAAACCACCCAGTGGAACCAAGTCCCAGCACGACAGGATCACATCACAGAGCTCTTCATTACCATTTTCAATTAAGTCTCCTTGGCTGAGTTAATATTTTTTAATTTGACTTCAATCACCACCCCAAGTCTGTGCCTACAAAAGTTCTGACCATGGTCTCCAGTTGCTGCATTGACCTTTTGAAGGCAGGGATGTGAACAGACACATTAACTGTACAAGGGGTGACAGAAGCGTGTCAGACCTTGGAAATGCTCACCCCAGTGAAGGATTCAGGACAGGGAGACAGGTGAAGTCCATAGGAGGGATCCAGTGTGGCCAAGACCTGACACATGAAGACGATGCACAGCACAGTCTCCAGAGGACCAAAAAGATGGCACAGAAATGATGGGGCTCAGAGCACAGACTTTGAGAGATGCCCAGGGGTGGGGACTTACAGAGGCAGGGAAAGCTTGGCCAGTGGAGAGAACTGGAAGGACATCCTTCTCTAGTAAAAGGGTTCAGCTCTGCTGGAACCAACCAAGCAGCGCTGGGAAAGGAGACTGTAATTCACAGCACAAAATCCAGTCACAAAAGGAAAGGGAGACAGCAAAACCCATGCACAGAGTCACTGCTTGGTCAAAGCTGAAAATTTTTTTTTTGTCCACTAAAAAGCATCTGAGTTTCTGGGAGCTTGCCTGTGCCACTGGCTTGCTTTAGCTGCCTGGAGCTCATGGAGTGGTGAGAGATGAACCCCCAGTTCAGGCCTACAGAGATGGAGCTCTTGGAAAGTGGGGTTGAGCTAAGAGTTCATTAGAATTAGTCCTGGAGATCTTGGTCAAATTAATTTCAAAGCACAAGATTGCTCAAGCAGAAGGGGGAAATGCCTGTACACAGAAGCGTCCTTAGGAAGTTTAGGAAAAAGGCCAGGCCAGCTGCTTGCAGGGAAAATTATAAGAAAAGAATAATCAGGGGAAAAAAGAAAAGGCCAAAGAAACCGGTCCCCAGCACTAGCAGCCATAAAGTCCAAGTAACTATTTCTGCCCATTTTCTCAGCTGTAGGCAAAGCAGAGTGTCTTAAGGGCAAACACTCTGGGGGAGGAGGACAGGAACTGCTGCTCTACAAGGGAGAGACACAGCGTGTGTTCCTTTGACTATCAGCTGTGTGGGCTAGAAGGTCTGCACACAACATTTCCTGTGGAGAAGCATCCCTGGGCAGAGAGCTGATAGCCAGGGGTAACACTGGCCACTGCAATGACCTGTGCTTCTTACACCCAGAGCAATTCACACCCCTGCCTCTCCTGTTACAGATGGAAGCAAACAGGCAAAACTCATCATTAGTGGAGAGGCAGTATTCGTTCCCGTTATGAAAGTTCTGCAGGTCAAAGCTATAATAAACCCTGCTAGAATATCCATCCTAATTGAGCTGTTCTCTTTTCCCTTCCTCTATTGTTTAACCCTTTCCAAAGTAATTGCTGGAGAAGAGACTTTCAGCAGAAGGTACATGAATGGATTAAACTCATCATGTCCTAGAATCCCAGAATCTCAGCCTGTTTGTGTTGGAAGGAACCTTAAAGCCCATCTTGTTTCACCCCTGCCATGGGCACCCCTCCCACTATCCCAGGTTGCTCCAAGCCCCATCCAGCCTGGCCTTGGGCACTCCCAGAGATTCAGAGACAGCCACAGCTACTCTGGGCACCCTGTGCCAGGGCTTCCCCACCTTCAAAGGGAATATTTTTTTCCAAATATCTGCTCCAGACCTGCCCTCCTTCAGCTTAAAGCCAGTTTTCTCCCTGGACTATTGGTTCAGTTGAGCCACACTGCCAGAAATACTCCTTCTTGTGCAGAAAAAGAAATTACTTTAAACACTAATGAAAACACTGACCTATGTAAGACTTCCTGAAGAATATTAAGTAATTTTTGGAATGGAAATATCATCCCTCATTCTCTGCCCCCTTCCAGGGTCTGGACTTTGCATTCCAGAGACACTATTTTAAAAATCAAAAATAATCTCTTGGCTGAACCAGGAGCTGGTTGGGAATGCTCAAAGCCAGCATTATTGATTTCTAATCCATTACCAGTACCCCACAGGACAGCTCAAACAATCACCTACAGCTGCAATTATTTTGGGTGTAGGTCCATGTATCCAGCCTGACTTCCACCAGGCACTGCTCCAGGAGGGCTTCCACACAGAGAGGGGGCAAAGCCACTGCAGATTCTCAAGGAAAGGGACATCACCATGTACAATAAATAAGAATTTCACTTTAAAAAACAGTTTTTTTAGATTACCCTCTTCAAAGGCCTAGCAGAAAGTGGGATATTCAGCAGGATTTCTGACACAAGCCGATTTTTCATTTCCATCAGCACAAAGAGAGCAAAAAAGTCCCTTTTCTGATTGTCTGCTCATTTTTATTGGAACAGAAGGCTGAGACAGACTTCTACTGCAGCACTTCCACCTCTTGAGGTGATGACTTGTGCTATATTCCAGATAGAAATGGATCTTCCTGCAGTGGTCCAAGGAAAATTCATCACAGTCATATGACTCACTGCCTCTGCTCTTTAAGTCATGGTCTTTTCTTTCTATCCACCTCATCTCTCACACACACTGATGCCAAAGGCTCTGCTCAGCAGCTCCTGTGCCTCATCTCTGGTGCCTGGTTTCCTTTTTCTGTAATCTCCTGGCCACAGAGGATGGCAGATTTTGGTTCTTACACCACTATCCTACTGAAAGGCAGGAACTGGGAAGACAGCTTGCTTAGAGAATGCTAGTTTTGCCCTAGAAGACTTCTGTAGAAGGGATTCCCTCTGGAATTGCTACTAGCTGATTTGCTGGTTCCCTGCTAGTCTGACTTTTGCTGAAATAGGGTGGGACTGGTGATGGAAAAAGCAAAAGGGCTGGGAAGCTGCACTTAAATCCTTCCCACACACTCCCCCAGTGTACAAGTGCTTTTATAAATGCTATACACTACTGGCAGCCTCTCCTCTTTAGGATGCAGAGAGCAAGAAAAGCCGCCCTGGGACATGGCTGTGTTCCTGCTGGGTCAGGAGATGGAAATTTCACTCCTGAAAGTGTAGGGAGAACTCCCCTGCTGCCAACATCTCATTTCTTTTCAGAAGATAATTTCGTTTAGTATCTTTGATACCAGAGCATGGGAATGGGTTACAAAAGCACAGGTAAGCTTTGCCCATACCCCTCACCAGGCCAACTCAGGAGAAAAGCAGGAGGCCCTTTCATCTCTCATCTTCCCCAGGCTCTCGTCCTGCTGGCCTCATGGAGCAGCCAAGGCTTTCCAACACCTCTGGAGGGGAAGAGCTCTTCCTGCTATTTCATTCTGGATGGTTTAACTGCCTTCTTTTGCTTCTCCCAGTGTTCAGCAATTATCACATGAAGCTGCACAGAGCCAGGAGGTGATAATGGCACGAGGTGTTAATCCCAAAAGCAACACAGCTCTGTGTTTCTCCTACCTCCCCATCTTCCACATGTCACTTCACACCATCCAGGGCACTGCATTTTCTCCAAACACAGGATGCAAGCAGAGCATCAGAAAGCACAGAAAGCAGCAGCCAGCCATAGCAATAAGAGATTATTTCCCTTGTTTCAACATTTTACAGCTGATAATTTTGAAGTGGAGCCCTTCAGTGGGAGCAGCACAGATGGATTAGGGTGGCTCCAGGGGAAGGAATTGCCATGGAAGGCACAGGGGCCTTACCTGCATAAGGAGCCGCAGAGGTTTTCCATCCTGCTGCTCAAGGACTCTGAACTTCACTCCAGCTGCAAAGACACAAAACAAGGAAAGCAAACTCATGGTGGGATTGTTGGGGTGTCCTGTGCAGGGCCAGGAGTTGGACTCGATGATCCCTGTGGTCCTTTCCCACTCAGGATATTCCATGGTTCAACGCCTGGAGCACAGACAGTGCATTTGCTGCCCAGTGCTGTTGGCTGAGCACTGATTCCCTAGAAATTGTCTTCAACCTTTCTGGATTTGGGAACGTTCCCCATTTACAACATGGATTCAAGCATGGATTGTCTCTACAATGCTTTAAGCCTAATGACACAGCTCCATTAAAAGTAACCCCTCACATCCAGCTTGAAAACTCAGTCCTAGAGCAAAGACAAAGCCTAGAAATCAGCCAGCCAGACGTGAGTCTGACAGAGGGACTGGAAAAACCTTCCACTTTTTCCAAACTTCCATCAGAATGGGAACTCCATGTTAGCAGCAGGCTAATTCGTGCTTTAATTTGTGCTCATGTGGACACATGTGCAAATCTGTCCCACTTTCAGGCTGAGGGAGGGAAGTGGCTGACCTGGAGGCATTAAAACATTTCGAAGCAATCCCAGCATCCACATGTTTTTAACAGGCTGACCCCATCAAACCTGCCACATTCCTATTTTCTCTTGGATTTGCCTCATTGCCAATACTGTAACGATAAATAGGAAAGATTTGGGATTCCAAGAGTGACACAGTGCACACACAGATTTAATACAATGTTTCAAAGGTAACAGCTTGCACCAGAGAGGCATTTTTCCTACAAAGATGTCAAATTACTTCACAGAAATAAAACCACCAATCCATCTCTGCAAACCTGCTCCAGCCAAGCATGCCCTGTTAATCTTTGCTTCAGGTGAGAAGATGAGAGAAGGAAGACTAAGGCACAGATCAAACACAGACAGGAACACAAACAGAAGTAAAACTTCACCATTGCAAGTGTAAGTGCCATTGCTGCAGTATCTCTATGACGCTTGCACAATGAAAAACCAAAATGTTTTCTCTTTTTTCTCAAACTTTGAATTAATTAAAATCATACAGTTCACTCCTGAGATAGAACACTTCTCTCTAGCACACAGCTCTGGTTTAAACTCTGTCCCCAAATCATAAACCTTTTTCTGTCCTGGACAGGAGGGATTTATCTGCATTTTGCTGGATTATATTGATAGAGGGGCTTCCCCAGTGGCTTGAAATAGATGTTTGAGTACTCTGGGCCTCAAGAAGCAAATGTGCTGGATGACCAAAGTGCTCAGCATGATTCACAGACCTTTGGCTATGAGGAAGTGCCTAAGGCATTCCAGGAACTACTTTTCTGGCAGACTTTGTCAGAGAGAGACAGAAACAAGCAGGCACTGAAGGTTCAGATATGTGTTTGAGCACTCTGGAGTCTTACCTCAGGAACAGTCCATTATCCCAGCAAATGCTGGTTCTGTAGGTCTGGCCACACACCTCCCTTCTAAAGCGGCAAGCCAACACTTTCTTAACTAGATTATTTAATTGCTCAAGAGTCTTCAACTTCTAAGAAAATATGAGCACACAAAGGCTATAAACTCATTTTAGAATGACCTGCAGATGACTGCAGTGCTCAGGACTCTGAGCAGTTCCCGTCTCACAGGAAGAGCAGCTCAGCTGCTACAGATCACTCCAGCAAGAAGAACCCTGAACTATTCCATGACTTCCATCCAACTCCAGAGTTCAGGGGTCTGCTTTTCCTGTACGAGGGCATCAGCAATGGCACAGGAGAGGTCAGGACACGAACTCATTTACTTTGTTTCACATGACAGCACACTCAAGCGAGGACACTGCTGGTTTGTACTCCAGCAATTGCAGCAGGTCCTACAGAAATATGACAAAACCTGTCCCAACATTGCCACTGTGAATATTGGGAAAGGGAAGTACAGGAAAAACGAGATGGTCTGTTCACAATCAAATAATGCTTGTAACATGTGTGTGGGCAGTCTGAGAGCCCTGAAACCCCTGCTGTTCCTTTCTTCATGCTGTGAATACACATTCCAACCAAGATGGCACTCCTTGAGCTGCACTGGGTGAACAGAACTCTTGCACAGAGGACATCAGCTATGATCTAGATAAAAAAGGCCTTTTGAAGTCATAAATATTTCACTTTGGATGTGAAGAAAGAAAAAATGCATTTAGTTTCAGGTGTGTGGATGGATCATTCACCTACCCCTGGTCTGGGCTTCATCAGTGGAGTATTTTGTCAATTCAGACCCTGAGTCAAAGAACTTGGAGGCCACGTGCCACAGCTGAACAGAGTTGAACTTAACTTTTTTCCTATCAGGAAAAACTATCCATTCATGTTAGTAGAACCATCTTAGTGATGCCTGTAAAATCAGCTGCCCTAACACCTGCGAGAGGATGTCTTCTCCAAGTTGTGAGTCTGACAAGGGAGGCAGCACCTCAGCAGTGAGGACATCATGTGATGTGCACTCTCTGAAGTCCTTTGAATTGGATTCAACTGCTCCATCTGTTCCTGTTGCCATGCCATGGTTTTGTGCTGGGCCAGGAACACAGGCTGCAGAAATGATCAGAGATGTCTCTTCTCTCACAGCACCCGGGCACTGCAGTGCCAATTAAGGAACTCAGCTCAGAAGTCAATCCTCTGCTTTGGGTGGGGGCTTGTTTCCTGCAACAGACACCTGGCTGAACAGGAATGAGAAGTAACCTGTGGCCTTACACAACCTAAAGGAATTCACGGTCTTACACCTCTCAGTGGCACCAAGATTTCCTCCTGCCCTACATCCCGCTCATTACTGGGTCAGTTTTCTTCAGCAGCATCTCCTGTTCTCCAAAGACAGCCCTGAAGGGTTTGAGATGTTTCTGCCAGGAAATTCACAGGAACCTGCTGAAGGCTCCCATGGAAAAGCAACAGAGTTGGTAACACAGCTCAGCTCTACCTTCCCAAAACTGAGCCTGGCAGTGCTCCAGCAGACAAAGCTGCTGAGGTTGCCTCGAGCTTCCTCTGCCTTTGATGACTGGCCTTGGTTTACTGATGATCAAGCTCTTTCTTCTATGCTAAATTCCTGCTGCATGCTCTTTAAAAGGATGGGAGATAATAATTTAGATGTGCTTGACTGTAACTAGATCAACCATAGCTGTGGACAGTTAAAAGCATTCCAAAATGAGTCCTTACTCTGGTGCCAGCCATGGTTTATGGTTACCCAAAGTGGAAAAACAATGACTGGTTTCAAAATGGTGACAGATTAGTCTCAAAAAGAGAATAATTATTTGAACTCTGCCCAGAGCTTTGAAATTCATCCAAACACCTCAGGTCAGGGCTTCAGTCAATCAAAGTCAGCACAGAACTGAAACAGCTCCATTGATGTGCAAGCACTGTAGATCCAACCCTTTGGAACAGCTGATATTCCAAGTATTTTTGTGATTTGGCTTGTTTCAGAGCCCAACCACCTGAAGTTATAGGTTTGTTTCAGAGAATCATGGAATATCCCGATTTGGAAGGGACAAGGATCATCCAGTCCATCCCCTGGCCCTGCACAGACACCCCAACAATCCCACCCTGGGCATCCCTGGCAGTGCTGTCCAAACACTCCTGGAGCTCTGGCAGCCTCGGGGTCGTGCCCATTCCCTGGGGAGCCTGGGCAGTGCCCAGCACCCTCTGGGGGAAGAACCTTTCCCTGAGATCCGACCTAAACCTCCCCTGGCACAGCTCCACACCATGTTTGACTCACAGAACTTTTACCTGACCTGGCAGTCTAGAACTGGAATAAAAGATGACCTCGTTTATATGGTCCTTGTTTGGATGCCATTTTTAGTGGCAAAGGGCTTTCTAAAGGTACTCCTGATTCTGCTTCAGGTTCAGATTTCTTTCCATTGACATCCTCATCCTGCTCCTTGCAGGAACTGGTTCACAGTAGGGACACCTGCACGACCCAAGCCTTGGGTTCTTCTACCCCCACTGCATCCTCAATTCAGGAGTTACCCCGTGCACCAAAATCAAGCCCATAATGCAAAATGCTTGAAGTGCTGCAGGGGCAGAGCTGAGGGACTCACCTGCAAGCCTGTAGGATCTGCAGAGGCGAAGGATGAGGGAATAAAGAGGCAGGGAGTCAATCAGGTCCACCAGCAAGTGTATGAGACCCTGCACAATCACCACCAGCAACCGGAGCTACAAAAACCAGTTTAACAGAACATCTCAGGAAATAGGAGATTAAACACTTGTAAATTCCTGAGCTGAGCTGGGATCTAACACTGCTGTGGGCTAGCTAAAGCCTCCCATAGTGGGTGTGATGTCTGGAAGTGCTGAGCATCCAGACCCTGTGTGAGGGTCCTCAGCAATCTGAGGGTAACTGGAATGAAGCTCCAGCTGGAGATGCTGTGACCAGCAAGGACATGAACTATTCCACTTTCAGCAGTCACAGTTGAAAAGGAAGCCCAAATTCTCCCACTCCAAGTTAAGTTCATCACTGTGTACCAGTGAATGTAAATTTTCCTCTCCAACAGTGAGCTGTAACAGCTCATTTTGGCCTGAAGAAATCCCACGTAGAGTTTAAGCAAGAGCAGAGCAGGCAGAAATGAGCTTCCTGCTCTGTGTTTTCTGTCCCTGACTAAAGCACCTCCTTTTGTCACTCTGCAGTTATTTTCTGCTGCCAAGCTCATCTGAAAAGAGAAGGCTCAAAAAAGATGCTGAAAGCATGTGAATGGCCACTGTCTGTGGAAAATTTGGCTCCAGCAGATCGCGGAGAGGACTGGTCATATTGGGGGGAGAAAAGAAAAATAAAGAAATTCTAGCCTCTGAGGAAAGCTTGGCTGAAAATATTTAATACAGCAAGTTAATTCCCTGAAAAAAAAAAAAGTTCTGGATCAGACTAGAGAGGCCATCACCGCAGATGTGAACGGAAACATAAAAAAACAACTTCTGAGAGAAAGAGAGAGGAACAGTTTGTCTTGCTGGCCAGGATTTGCTGGGAATTCCCTTTGGAAAAACACAGACATGAGCTGTGTGAGAATCCTTCCTAAGACACCCACATTTTTATTTTCTTTATAGATACCATAAATGTCAAGGAAGCCATTTGTTACTACCTCAGAAAAGAGTGTTTGACTTGTTTCAAGGGTTAAATCTTACCAGGGTGAACACCAAATAATACAGTGCAGTTGTAGGCAGGAGGAACAGCAGGATTGTGAACAGCAAAGTGCCAATAAACAACTAGGGAAAAAGGAAACACAGTCATGAGCAGAGCAATGGCAAAATAAAATACATTACAAATAAAAAATAGGAGACTCTGAGGCAATGGAAGTTTGCAGGACTCCTTAATGTGTTTTTATCTTGCCTATGTGAATAATGATGTTACCTTGGATATTTTCAGTATTTCTCCTCTCCCTGGGCCTTCTTCAAAACTCCTTATTGTGGGAGTACATTTGGAAAGATAAATAAAAGCTGTATCCTGACAGCAATTTTCCTTTACAGACAACATTCAAGACTTCCCATTTCAGGCTGGCTTCCTTAGGAAACAAGACTTAGGTGATCTTGCATTTTTTCCACTCTGTCTCCAAAAGTTTTAGAGCCATTGAACAGATTTTACCAGAAAAATGTGGAAAATAACAAAGAAGTGGTAATTTGAATGGGAATTCTGGAAATGATTGAGAAGTACTTTCGTTCCTCCTTGTTCCTCCTTGTGCAGTACAGGCACTTGGTGCAAAGTGGACAGAATTTGGGTGATAAACATTCCCCAAGGCAGCAGCTGGCTGAGCTGTCCAGACACAGGAATTCTACCTCTGGCTCATTGGGAAGGTGGGAGAGATGAAGAAGCTGGAGTCGGGGAGCAATATTTAGAGGATGAAGGAGAAGAATCCCTAAGGAAGCAGGTGTCATTAGCTCCACTGTCCACAGAAAAAGTTATTTTTATTCTGGGCCAGCCCAGCTGGCATAGGTCTAAATAATTCCAAGTGGGAGAAATTCAGATTTATAGCACACAGGGACCTGACTCTTCTATTTCTAGTCCCGACTTCCAGAACAGAGAGGCCACAGGAGCATAGGGCACTGCAACCTCTGCAAAAAGGGACCATGGCTGCAGGATATCATGAAAGAAAACAATCCAGCAGCCAAGCATGGAGGTGGATCAGCATCACAGCTTTAAGGATGTAACCATGAATAGATCACAACCCAACCCATTCTCCTCACAGCAGTTGTTTCTCCCTTCTCCTGTCACTCCACTGCAGTTGTTTAAACCTTCAAAAGTCTTTTAAGGTCTGCTTTGAATGTCCTTTCCTACCCAGCCAGTGACACAATTCCCACTGGTCTCCAGAGCAGCAGGATGAAGCTTGAAGTGCCAAACCAATTCTCCTCAAAGTACACAGGGAGTGAGGCCTGATGCAAACCTGGCACGGAGGCTTTTAATTACCAAAGAAAGAGAAAACCAGTTCTCAGCTGTGATGCAAGAAGCTCAAGGTTATCTGTTGTAATAGAGAGAGGTGCTGACCCTGCAAGTTTCCAAATATTATTATATTATTTCAATGATGTTTGCAGCTGCTGGCCTGGAGCAGTTCAGGCTCTGCTGGACTTTTGCATGGCATTTCAGAAATTAAAAAGAGCTTACAGCACTTCACAAAAAACTGCCTCTGCCTGAGTGAGAGTGTGTGGGCCAGGCTCCAGCACAACGTGAATGAAACGGGGCCTTTTAATAGAAACGCTGCCACGGCTGTTACTGTGGCAACACTGCTGGGCACCACATTTCCAACTGCCTCCATCCCTCCCCCGTTCCCCATTCCCACTCCAGGCTCCCAGAGCTGCCAGCATCTGCAGCACCCACCACAGGTCGCTGAGTGCCTGGCAGGTGCTCAGGGCAACTCTGCACTGGCAAGAATTTGGCCCTATGAGCAAGGGAAGGGGTGCTGGAGGGCAGGGAAAGGGAAAGGGAAAGGGAAAGGGAAAGGGAAAGGGAAAGGGAAAGGGAAAGGGAAAGGGAAAGGATGCTGGAGAGCAGGGATAGGATGCAGGGTAGGGAAGAGGTGCAAGGAAGGGGTGCAGGGCAGGGAAGAGGCACTGCAGGGAATGAAAGTGGTATGGGGAAGGGAAGGGCTGCTGCAGGTAAGGAAGGGGTGTTGGAGGGCAGGGAAGGGGTGCAGGGCAATGAAGGGGTGTTGCAGGGCAGTCAAGCAGTGCTGTAAGGCAACAGAAGAGCCATGGGCTCAGTGTCAAGGTATGTCCTTGTTCTGGGCACCACAAAGGCTCCTGTGTCTGTGTTCCCAGTATCAGTCAGAGCAGGATGGGAGGGCAACACCAAGGGCAGTGCCCTGGGGTGTCCCCAGGGCTGTGGCACTACCTGGTCCAGGTCATAGGAGCAGGAATCCACCCGCTGCCTCAGCACGTTCCACTTCTTTCCCCGGAACAGGCGCCACAAGGAGGACAGGCCGTAGATCTTCAGGCAGTAGAGCCTGAGCAAAGAGAAGATTCTGTAGCACAGCTGGCAGCTCCCAGCTCCAGCACCACCCAGCTGTCACCAGCACAGCCCTACACCACTCACCCACCTGCAGAGCTAGGGCTGCCAAAAGAAATCCACTGGGAATGATGCAGATAAAGATTCATAGCTCAGTCAACCCTATCTGGGCTGGCCCCCGGCATGGAGGGTACTGCAGCCAGCTCTGGGCCACTCGAGGGCAATGGCCAGGCCATGCCCTGGAGCTGCAGCAATCACCAGCCTCATGACAGCACCTTCCCTGCAGCAAAACGGTGCTGAGGCCCTGGCACAGGGTGCCCAGAGAAGATGTAACTGCCCCTGGATCCCTGGAAATGTCCAAGGCCAGGCTGGACAGGGCTTGGAGCAGCCTGAGATAGTGGAAGGTGTCCCTGCCCATGGCAGGGGATGGAATGAGATGAGCTTTAAGGCCCATTCCAACCCAAACCGTTCCATGATTCTATGAAAAGAACCAGCAATTCTATTTCCCCAAGCTCACTTGTGTCTCCTCAGTTCAGATCTGTCCCTTCCCCTGCCTTCACACCCTTCACAGCCTTCCAGGGCTGGCCAAGGTCTTACCCCACACCTGAGCCAGTGCAATGCAACTGAACCTCTGCAGTAGAGACACAAGGGAGAGGAGTGGAGCCCCTGCAGTTTCTCTAGTAACCCACAGCTCTACAAATCCTTAAGAGTGGGAAGAAACCAGTGAAATGCCTGGTGGCCCCTACTGCACCCCTTCCTTAGGCTTTCAGAACTTGGTGCTATGACACTTGGAGCTACTTCCCTCACAGAAAAATGACAACAGTGAGGGAAACTTGGGGTGACAAGGGGTGGGAAACAGACACCTCTTAATGGAAAAACATCAGGGAAGAAAGCTCTTGGGATGGAGAGGAGGCACAAAGTGCCCTGGGCAGCAGTGCCAACATACAGGGATGTAAAGGAAGAGGACATGGCCAGTGCATGGGGCAGAACAGAGTCTGAGAAAGCCTGAGCTACATAAGCCAGACTGGCAAACCAGGCAAGCTAAGGTGTGGAGGCTGCTCAGATTTCACAGCAGCAACGTGAAAGCAGAGGCAAGGAGTCTCATCCAAGAGAAGAATCTGGTTTGAGGAACACCAACTGCTTCAAGGAATTGGCAGGGTGCCTCCAGACTGGCAGGCACAGCTTAGTGCATTAACCCCTAGGCAGGAGGCAGCCTAGGACAGCTCCTGCAGGTGCTGGCACACACCTGCCCATGGTTCTGACTAAGGCCACGCTCTCCCTGCACCCCCTGACATGATACCCACTGGGTGTTGCTGGAGTGGCACCTGCCCCACCTGCCCTGCTGCCTGCATACACATGCCTGCCCTCGTTTCATTCTGTGGTTTGCTCCAGAAGGGGATCTCAGGCTTCACCAGCACCTGAACCAGCAAATTCTTCCTCCTGCCAGCTGCAGGAATTCAAGGGGCTGTGGTGGCTATGGGTGACTGCTGACACTTCCTGGCTCTCCATGGGGACAGCACACAGCTCTTTGTACTTCTGACAAACACAAGACAGGTAGGCTGGCTCCCTGCAGCTCCAGGGAACAGCAATCAGCTGACAAAATGCTTTTCCTACTTCCTACTACCACTCTGCACAACTAGGATGAGCAAGGCCATTCCTCACAGACCAACACAGAAATTCCAGTAATTAGAGGTGTTGGGAAGAGACCTCTCACTCCACTCCTGACATTACTGATTCTGAGTGTAAGACCTATGCTCACAACAGACCTGGCTCATAAATCAGGTCTCAATATTTCCAACCATTCCCTAAAACTACCCATATCTAAAGATTTACTGTTTCTTGTGTTGTTTGCTATGTAAAGTCTGAGGAGGAATAGTGGCCATTCTCTGCTTTGTAAGGCAAAAGGCCCTTTATCATCTTCCTGGCAAGCACATCCTGTTGCCTGTGGGACTCCTTGGTGCAGCACAAGTTAGAGGAGAGCAGGAACAGAGCATAGTGATGGGCACCTCTTGCACAGGAACCCCAACATGCCCCAGATGTGCCCCTTGCATTCCCCCTACTCATTCTGAGCCTCCGCCCAGCTCTCAGGCCACAGGACCCTCCAGACAGTGACATCAGGACAGTGTCACAGACCTCTGTAACCCCAAACCCGCCACCTGTGCTCCACAGTGCAGGCAAGGACCTCTGAATCAGGGCAGACCCAGGGGTTTTGAGGCTTAATCAAAACTACAGAGGTTCCTTTCTCTTCCAACTCTTCTCCAGTTTCCCTCCAAATCTCTAGCAGGGTGCAATGGAGGAGAGTACTATGACACTGAATCAAAGGGATGGGGTGACCTGCTTTCTTGTCCTCTGCCTGTCATGTAGTTTCATTTTTCCAGGTCACTACCATGACAGATAAACATCTAAATGCTGGAGAAATGAAAGATGGGTTGCTTGTACTACAGTGGCCATCATTTCTACAGGCTTAAAAGACTGCAAGAAATTAACTGCAGGTTAAACTGTGAATTCAGGAGAACTACACTAGGACTGAATGCTTCACCAGAGCCTGAGGTGCTTTCAAACAAAGCCCAGAGAGGGAGGGGGACTCACCTGGCCCCGTAGACATAGAAGCAGTAGATGTGGAAGGTCAGGAGTGCGATGATGTCAGAAAGGATGCAGAGAGCCACGGTCAGGCCCAGACAAGCTGAGAGCCCCACGTACCACAGGATCATCTCAATGAAGGGGGACAGCAGGTGGATGTAGCCTGGTGGACATGGCAGAGGGTCAGTGTTCATCTGGGTCATTTCCCCCTTGACCCTCTCAAAAGGCTGATTCCCCTCGCCCTACAACACTGTTCCAGAAATCAGAGCCATGAAAACATGGAAGTGAAGCTGGAAAACTCCTTTTAGATGCCATCTTCTCTTTAGGAAAGCCAACAAAAACTCTCTTTCTGCCCAAGTTTCTGCCCCAAGGTGGGGCAGCACCGGGAGGATGGGGAGGAGTGTGCACAGCAGTCACCTTTCTCCACATAGGATTTCATGGAATTAGCATGGTTAGCATGGTTTGGGTTGCAAGGCACCTTAAAGTTCACTTAGTGCCACCCCCCTGCCTTGGGCAGGACACCTTCCACTAGACCAGGTTGTTTCAATCCCTATCCAATCTGGCTTTGAACACTTCCAGGGATGTAACATTTGATTTTCTGTATTTGTGTCCAGGTTCTTAAGTACATTTTTAACTGCACACATCAACCTTTACCGCAACCATTCCTGTTTTTCTGCTCTTCCCACAAAAGCCACCTCATATGGCTTTTGTAAAATAAAGCAGTGTGGACAAACAGTCTCTTTCATCATCAAAGTGGGGCAAAGTCACAGAAACAAGACCATACTTGACTGGTGAGCAAAGTAAATCAGTGAAGTAACTATGGAGTTCATGTTCATCATGGCTACTTCTCCATCAAGGATAACAGGGCTGTGTTATTTCAAGGTAGAACCTGAAATAATAAAATTGCACTAAGCTGAAGTTGGTGATAGGACAGAGCTGGCATTTGTATCCCTGCGCATTTCTCACCCCTATTCCAAGAGGTGCCTCTCACATGGCAAAGACCACGAAACCCTACAAAAGACCTTACAGCAGTGCCTTCCCTTGGACTCTCACCACCAGTGACACCAAGGAACTAAGCCCCAGCAGGATATGCACTTCTTGCAGAGCATCAATACCAGCACTTTATTTAATATGCATGAATTCCTTGTGTGGGAATCCAACTTTGGCTTCAGTTCCCACAGCAGGAAGACTCCCAGACAAGTCTGTACTTGCAGAAGTGCATTTTGATTCATTACTCACCTCTAGGCAAACATTAAACACTCAGAGGGAAGAGATGAAAAGGAAGGCTGGAAAGTTAAACAATTTCACTTACTGATCCAAAGATGGATGTGATAAAGGAAGAAGCGGCCCAAAACTTGATCCAAGGCTCTGTTCATTTTCAGTCCAGCTGGTGCTCCCATCAGCCACTGGAGCAGGTCCTGCAGCTCTTCAGCCACATGCTGCAAACACAAGGAAGCCAGGCCATGGAGAGAAAAGACTGCAATCAGGGCCAGTACACTGTAACTGCTGCACCCTCAAGTATTCCACCACAACCTTCAAACCAATGGGAAAAAATCCAAACAACTGCTTTACAGACAACTACCTAAATCAGAAATGCACCTTTATGAACTTCTTACTGAATCAAGCACAATAGCTGAGAGGAACCTGAACTGCTTCAGTGGTCTCTATCCTGGAAACATGGAACTGTCACCTCTGGCCACCTCTGGAAGGCTTGCACAGTGGGATTTCCTGTGGTAATGAGGGTTCTGGAAATAGATGGCAAATGCTGGTGCACAAATCCACTTCTGGGGACAGTCAGGTGAAAAGTCAGAGCTGAGTTTGGAGAGGCTGTCATGATTTTAAAAGAGGGGAAGATGGCAGTGTACACTAATGGGCAAAAAAGAGTGAATTTTTATAAACAATCTGTGTTTGTTTAGAGCAAGGTAGAAAACACAATTATATAAATGTATGTCATGCAAAAACTCTCTTGATACTTTGTGGTGTGCTAGGCAATAGTCCTGATCTTGTCTATCACTCTCTGCAGGCTTCATGGACAGGTACTCATGGCATCCCAGCAACAAAGCAGCCTTGGAATCACTGAGGAAAAACATTAATGAAGCTCCTCCCCACATCACTGAATCAGAAAATCATTATGGTTGGATCAAGTCCTATGAATCTAATACTGCCAGGTGCACCACTAACCTACATCCCCAAGTGCCACATCCACATGGCTTTTTGAACACTTCTGTGACTCCACCACTGTCCTGGGCAGTCTGTTCCAATGTCTGAGCACCCTCTTCATCAAGGAATTTTCCCAATATGCAATTTAAACCTCTCCTGCTGCAACTTGAAGCTGCTTTCTCTTGTCCTGTCCCTTGCTACCTGGCTGCCCCCTCCTGTCAGGGAGTTGTTCAGAGCCAGAAGGCTCCCCCTGAGCCTCCTTTTCTCCAGTGATACCTTAAGTTTTAGCTTTTATATTATTCAGATTCTGTCCTGCATTGGTGTGTGACTCTGAACTTCATATAAAGCGTTAGCAAGTTCTCCTCACAGTTCTCCTACACTTTTCCTCACAACTCAGTCAGACAAAACAATCCTTTTCCAGCCCCAGAACCAAGGACACGCTGCAGCTTCAGGCCCAAAAAGTGCAAACAGCAGCGAATTGAGGAGAGAATCTGGGAGGATGGGACTACAGAACCTGGAGCTGGGATTGGACAATTAACCCCAATATTGAAATGGACCCAAACTTATAAAAGTGTGAAAACCATCTTAGGTCCATTTTGGGTCCATCTTGGGTGTAGCCACAGCCAGGCTCCTGTCTATCTTTTTATCTTTCTCAAGGTCTATCTTTTAATGGCGTTTTAGTAAATCCCTACTTTATTGCTTTAACACTGTCTAGCCTCTGCTCCAGGGAGCCTCTTTAGGCATCACCAGACTGAGCCCCCCAAGCTCCCTCAGCTGCTCCTGGTGCTCCAGACCCTTCCCCAGTCCTGTTCCCTTCCCTGGACCTGCTCCAGCCCCATGTGCTATCTCTTCACTGCTGCAGAACAACCAAACCCCAGCTCTGGGCTTGTTCTTCCCTACCTCAAGCGTGTGCTCCAGACCCTTCACTGAGGGCTGGGATTCACAGTTTCTGGTGATTTCAGCCCAGGTCTCACTACACTCTACTACTCCATACTCCCCTTGCAGTTGGGTGATTTTTCTCCTCAAAACTTCCCACCTGCCCTGCTCCCCTGAACTGAAACCATTGCTGAGCTCTGAGTTACCAGGCTCTAAACTGAGGGAGCTGATAACCTTCAGCAAAAAGGTGGGGAAAATACCTGGAAGAAGTGACCTCTTACACTGTCCCACATGGACAGAGATTGTGAGGAAAAGCCCTCTTTCTCAAAAAATCCCACTTACAGCCCATGCAAGTGAAGGGCACTGAAAACTGCTCAAGTGTAGAATCACCAAGCCACGCTCCCTAAAGCTGATGCACTGTAGCCTACTTTCCTTATCATTCACATGTATAATTTCCCTAAGGAAAAATTATTTCCAAGGAATGACTCCATTTTCTTTATTAACCAACAGATCCTGGCAAAATGAGTTTGTAAACCTTTGCTTTCAGTGCTGTGGCAAAATTAATGAATCCATTTTCAACTTCTCCAAAAGGCTTGTCTTTCTATTTCCTTCCTTTTCCCTCTGTCTTACTGCAAGTCAGGACTGATTGGATCCCATGGAGCTCACCTCTGTGGCTGAGAAGTGTTTGCTGCTTTATAAATAGACTGGTTTTAATATTTAAAGCACTGGATTGGTAACTTAGAAAAAGCATTTGGGGATTTCAATGAAATATTTAAATGTTTGAAAGCAGTCCTTCAGCAAGGCTGGGTTTTAGCAGTGAGTATTTCTGGAGGCTGCCAGTCCCAGAGGTGCTGCTAAACTCTGACAGGGTAGCCATGGGAAGGTGCCCTACCTTGCTGTTATTTAGCTGGGCAAAGCATCTCAAAACAGAGTACTGAAGCATAACCTTGCAGGCTGTTTTCCAGACAGATATTTTAGGACTGATCAATAGCAAGTCGAATCAGGAAAGGTGACTGTGAGTCCGATTCTCCTCCTGCAGTCGTGAATACTGAATGTGGGCATATTAATAAATCAGATACAGTGGTTTAGAAGTGTTTCATAACAAGGTGCTGGGACATGACCAAACTGGAGACAGACTGGAGCTAATAAGGGTTAGATGAGCTCACTGTGGAAATATTCTCTTCACTGTCATGCTCTTCTTCCTAGTTTCCATGTGTAGAGGACTAATGCTGATGTGACACGGATGGAGAAGGACACACAGGGCACTGTGATACTCCAGGGAAGGAAGCAGAGATGGGGAAGGGGCTGAAGCCCCTTCATGGGGAAGCTGAGAAAGGGGCTCAGCCTGGAGAAAAGGAGGCTCAGCGGGAACCTTCTGGCTCTGCACAACTCCCTGACAGGAGGGGGCAGCCAGGTGGGCATTGGGCTCTGCTCCCAGGAACAGGGACAGGACAAAGGGAAATGGCCTCAAGTTGCATCAGCAGAGGTTTAGATTGGATACTGGGAAAATTCCTTCACTGAAAGGGTGGTGAAGCACTGGCACAGCTGCCTGAGGCAGTGGTGGTGTCACCATCCCTGGGGGCACTTGTGGACAGGGCTTAGTGGTGAACACAGTGGTGCTGGGGTGATGGTTGGACTCGGTGACCCTAAAGGTCCTTTCCAGCTTTAAAGGTTCTATCTGGTGCAAGTCAGAGCACACAGAGCTTTCCCTGTCAGACACACCTGCCCTGTGTCTGTTGCAGGTGGTTGGGGCTCTAAGATACACTTTTTCATAAATTAACATCTAAAAATATTTTTTCAGGAAGTGTTCTCTCTGCTTGCTTTGTTTATGGATCAGTGGAACAAGACTGAGTAGGAACATACATCCAATTATCTCGAAACCCCAGTAAAGCTTTTGCAGGCACAATGCATGATAAATACGTAACTGTTTCAAATAGATTGCAACTCAGGAAAAAGAGACATGGCAAGGATAAAAGAGATGAAGGGAAAAATAAAGGAGATGGTTTATAAGCAGTCCTTTTTAAAACCAGTGCAGAGCTTTGAGTCAGGTATTTCTGAAAGAAAGCTGTCTTGTGGAAGGCAAAAGCAAGGACAACCATTGTGAAGCCTGGTGGGATCAAGAGGAGGAGGAAGGTAGGAGTTGTGAGGGTACCTACAGAGAGAAGATTATTCAAGTTTTCCATTTTTGGATTTGAAAGCCTGCTTCAAAAATCAGTCCTTCCTAACAGCTCCTTGCCAGTTACTCCCTGGGTGTCTCTGAATCACATCTGCCTCACTGAGTGACAAAAGCAACTTGTTATTACAGCCAGCACAGCACAGCTCACCACGCTGGGAAAGTGGGAGCTGCAGTCAGTGATGCCTTGTGCAGCATCAACAATTGCCACCCAAGTGCTGATTTGAGATCCATTTTATCAGAGGATGACAAGGGATGGCCAGGGAACACAGCCTGCACTCCTGGAAGCAGGCTGAGATTGTGACCCTGGCAACGTTGAGAGTCAAAATAACCCACCTTCCTTCCAGAGAGATTTGGTTGGAAAAAACCCAAGCACTCTATCTAGGCCCCACACAGCTGGAATTTTGTCAATGTTAAAATCAATCAATCAAACCAATAAGGTTATATGTTATATAAGGGTAGCCTGTCAATATGAAAATCAATAAGGTTAAAGTGAGGTTATGTATATAGCCTTATTATACATAACGATCTTATTATAATGGCAATATAGAGTTGGAAGGGACCCACAAGGATCATCCAGTCCAGCTCCTGTCCCTGCACAGACACCCCAACAATCCCACCCTGGGCATCCCTGGCAGTGCTGTCCAAACACTCCTGGAGCTCTGGCAGCCTCGGGGCCGTGCCCATTCCCTGGGGAGCCTGGGCAGTGCCCAGCACCCTCTGGGGCAAAAGAGATATCCAATGTTCTGTTTCCCAACAGACACAGAGCTGTAGGGTCAATGCTACCAGCATATCTGGGCACAGCTCAAAGCAGAAGAGTGTTAGGGAAGGAGCAGAAGCTCTCTGCACACAGGGAATGCTGAGTTACTGAACTTGGCAACACATAAGCACTTGAGAAAGCCCAGTGATGGGAATAATGCAGACCAGATGGACACTCAGCAGCAGAGAGGAAACCTACTGCTGAATGGCTGAGGGGAGATTTTGCTGTCATACTGGAAAAGAAGTGGTGCTGGCTTGCATACCACATGCTGAAGTCATTGGTATATTTTGGGATCACTCAGATCTGCATTTTTTAAGGCCTGTACATAATGCATATAAATCAATGCCCAGCAAAGGGAGTAAAAAGACTCCAAATGATTTTATGTCCACAATCTCATATGCCTAGAAGAAGAAAGTAAGGGTGGAAAAAAGAAGAGTTGAGAGTGGCCTGAACTGATAAGCCTGGAAAAACAGGGAAGAAAGGCACTGACTGGCTATCAGCCCCTCCAGACATGGAGGAGTCAGCACTTCCAGGAAAGAAAGCAAACAGCTCCTGGTGATAGCCAGGTAACAGAGTCCACACATGGAGGAGACGTGGTGAAGACAGCTGTCACCGTGAAGCAAAAGCTGAGTGACAGATGAGCTAAATTACTGAAAGGGGAACAAACAAGCAACCTCACAAGAAAGCCTGTTCAGGACAGGTGCTGGGGGTGGACACACCTTGAGCACGGAGAGCATCCATCTGCCAAAGACACTGGGCAGATGGAATCCCTCCCAAAGCCACCTGTGCAACCAGGAATGCAGCCAAAGCCACTTCCCTGCAGACTTGTTAAGAAATCAGATTTCTGAGAGCTGGGCACTTCTAGTAATCCCAAAGGGAAAGCTCTAGAGAACTTAAACTTCTCCAGCTGAAATATCTGTAAGGGAAAAGATGTAGGAATAAGGCTTACAAGAATATTTGCAGTGTATAGCTCAAACACAAGAGCAAGTGTCCTGCAACAAATTTGGTTCTTCCTTATACCCACCACTGCTGCTGAGTAGTGTCTACAACAAACATGCTGTCCTTAAAAGTTTGACTATGAAAGATAAGAAAACCAGCAATAATCCTGATCCACAGCTATGCTGGACACCCCATACATGCTTTCTGAGAAGTCCAGCATGCACAAGAATGATCAGAGACCTTGTAATAACTAAGGAGTTAGACATGGAGCAAGAAGATAATTTCAAAGGAAATGTAAGCTCTTCCCAGGAAATGCAGCATAAGTAGGAAAAATAAACCACTGCTGGAATTCTCTGATCAAAATTAAATTCTTCCCAACCAAGAAGCTGGAGAAAGAAGAGAGAAGACATTTTCCAGCTGTTAGAAAGATACCAATGGAAAGACTCATTCAGAAATGAAAGAAAAGTGGGCAGAGAAAGGATTAGGCTGTGCAGCTGCATGGCACAGCTCAAAATTGGCTGCACTTGTATTCCCAAGACACAGAAGCTCTTAAAACAGAGCTGACCTCAGATTAGTGGTCTGGTCCTCAGCCTCTGAAGTACATTATATGTTCCTTACTGCCACTAAACAGATATATTGGAGCTCTGCACCTAAAATGAACCACCAGAAGAGCAGGACAGTGTGAGTCATACTCGCTATCCGTGAATTTCTGCTGATGTTGAGGGATCTCAGTGGGCAAGAGGAGTTATGTTTAAGAAAATCACAAGACATAGCAAGTTTTCCTAGTTTAGCATCCATACCCCAGAGCTCTTCGGCAGGATTTCAGGTGTTTGTACCCTGACCAGCAAAGCTTTTGGACTTCCCCACGAAACTCCTTTCACAAGCACAGCTGCACTGCTTATCATGTTTGACTTTCCAGCAATTTATCAGATTCAACCCAGGTTACAGGTTTTTTTTCATCACAAACAACCCATATAGCAACAACTTGAGGACACTTTCTGTTGCACCAGAAAAAAAATAAAAGCACTGTGGCTCCATAACCACCCAACCTGCAGCTGCAGAGCTCTGTCCAAGCCATAATTGTTCCTTTAGAAGCTGGAGGAGCCTTCCCATAAACATCTAATTACTATTCACAGCACATGCAAAGCAGAGCGGAGTTTCTTTTGAGCAGCCCCAGCAGGCCTGATTTGAAGATTTCACTGTCCTTGAGGAGACCTAATTTGCATGACTTCAGACAGGTCTCTCTGAAACCCTTGTGTGTGAGGCATTGCCTCCTTGCAACCACCACCGGCAGGAGCTGGGCAGTGCCCAGAGCAGGTGAAAGGGGATCAGATGTGGCCAGACTTACATCAGCCACAGGGATGAGAGTGTCAGCAAGGTGACCAATGCGGTTCTTTCTGTACAGCCACGACATCAGCAGTATCCCCAGGGCCACATCAATCAGCAGAGACACAAAGATGTTGGCTTTCCTGCAGGCAGGGTAAAGAGAAACAGAGAAAAAGGAAGGACAGTGTTTAATGTTTCAATGACAGTTGTTGGCTTTGCTTATGCAGCACCTTTAATATCCCAGGGACACCAGGACAACTCATTGAAGAGGAACTATTTTGGAATCTTTTCACTTCCACTGGTCTGCTGCTCCTTCTGTAGCCAAGCACAGGATAGGTTTGCTCAACCTGGAGAAGGGAAGACTGAAGGGAGACCTCACAGCTGTTTACAGCTTCCTCCTGAGCAACAGCTCTGATCTGTGACCAGGGACAGAACCCAAAGGAACAGTTGGAGCCTTCCTAGGGGAGGTTTAGGTCGGATATCAGGAAAGGTTCTTCCCCCAGAGGGTGCTGGGCACTGCCCAGGCTCCCCAGGGAATGGGCACGGCCCCGAGGCTGCCAGAGCTCCAGGAGTGTTTGACAGCACTGCCAGGGATGGACAGGGTGGGATTGTTGGGGTGTCTGTGCAGGGCCAAGAGTTGGACTCATGATCCTTGTGGGTCCCTTCCAACTCAGGATATTCTGTGATTCCATGATTCTAAACTTGGAGCCACTCAGAGCCTGCCACACCACAAAACTTTTCTTAGTAGAGATCAAAGAGGGGATTGAAGCTACAAAGAGGAATGTTAGACAGAAAGGTTTATACATGCTCAAGGGGAATTTACCAATTACCAGTACCGAGGGCACCAGCACTTGGTGCATGCACACTGAGATCAGATGGCTTTCCCAGACAAGGCAATAAATAGTGGCTTTGGGTTCATACACAAACCCAGAAGGGCTGCTGAGCTGCCCCTTCCTCGCTGGAGTTTCTGAATGGAATTCCATGACGTGAGTTCTTCAGGAAATCAGACTGAACAATCAGTTACTATGGGCCTTCAAATCTGCTAATCTATTTTAAGTGTTCCCTGGGAGTCTATTACTGCAGGATCAGAGAACCACAGAACAGGACTGGCTGTGGAAGAGCCGTAGGGCATCCAATATCTGTCTCAGATCTCTGCTCTGTTCCTCTCACTGTGCTGCATGTTTGCTTTTTCTCTTACACTCTGTTACTGTTCTAACAGTGTAAGTGGAGTCTCTGGTCTGCAGTTTTCCACAAAAAGCTTCCCCAAAAGAGTGAAAGAGGGGAGCATTTAAACCCTTCTGCTCCTATGGGAAGTGCCACTGAACACTGATGGATGGCCATGGTTAACAGCAGCACATGAAAACAATGAGCCTGTGGGAGTAGTGACAGCAAAGCACTCACACATGGGTGCAGTACAAGTTTTTGGGGTGCAATATCCCAACTGCCTTTCTTGGGCTAGGGAAAAAGGCAGGTATCTGGCAGAAGGTATAATTAACATATAAAGACACAAATATATATGCATATGAATACAGTGCAGAGTAAATATGTGCAAACTAGCAGGAAGTAGAGCAACACAATAGGGTGCAGTGAGGACCTAGTGCTGTCCAGGCATGGGATCCACGGTTTGGGTTCACCACAGGAAACAGGAATAGAGCCAAGACACACCTAACTTTGCATGTACTCCATACCTCATCAGCTGATTTTGTTTTTGAGCCTTCCTGTTGCTGCTGATGACTTGGAGGTGCTGCAGGCGATATCCCAGCTGCTCACAAGTTGAGAGTTTGCTCCACAAGAAAGACAATGGCCAAAACTTCAGCACCCTGCAGAAACACATGGGAATGTCTCCTCTTGCCTTTGCCATGCAGCAGGCAGTCCAGCATCCAACATCCATGCAAAACAGTCAGTGTTAAGGTTGTGCAACCAGAGCTGGTGATTAGACGTTAATGACTCTCCGAAAGGTTAACAGAATTAAGGCAGCCTTGCCAGACCAAGACATGTAGACAACCCAAGCTCTCATTTGCACTCTGTCAAACCACGTCTCACTCTTCCAAGGAAGCCACAAGGCAATCCTGATTCCAACCTCTGTTTTTGGATACATCACTGGGCTTGCACAATGCTCCCATCTCGAGGAGAGCAGAATCAAGTTGTGTTCAGTGCAACAATACAACATGGTGAAACTGCTGCACAAACCCCAGTGTTACTCATCACAGATCATGGAATGGTTTAGGTTGGAAAGGACCTTAAAGCTCATCCTATTCCACTCCCTGCCATGGGCAAGGACACCTTCCACTATCCCAGGTTGCTCAAAGTCCTATCCAGCCTGGCCTTGGACACTCCCAGAGACCCAGGGGCAGCCACAGCTTCTCTGGGCACCCTGTGCCAGGGCCTGCCCACCCCCCCAGGGAACAATTCCTTCCCAATATCCCATCCATCCCTGCCCTCTGGCAGTGGGAAGCCATTCCTTGTGTCCTGTCCCTCCATCCCTTGTCCCCAGTCCCTCTCCAGCTCTCCTGGAGCCCCTTTAGGCCCTGCAAGGGGCTCTGAGGTCTCCCCAGAGCCTTCTTTTCTCCAGGTGAACACCTTTAGCTCTCCCAGCCTGGCTCCAGAGCATAGGTGATCACAAGTCTCTGTGTGGTGTGAGCCTGATATAACAAACAGCTGTGCCCTCCATGCAGTTTGTGTCCCTTTCCCTCCCTCTTTCCTTTTTTATTCCACTTGATCCTTCTCTTCTTTTTTTTTTCTTTATTACTTCCAAATTCCTTTTTCAGGGTCTTCACTTCTACCTCCTCTCCATTGCCTTGCAGTGACCAGCATTATTTAGATAACACAACATATAGCATTTAATTAGGTTTCAAAGTTAACATCCACATTAGGATTGTAGGGGAGGAAACAGTCACAAGGTTCTTTTCTTATGACTCAGAAGAAAAGCACTAAATAATGCTTAATTATTTTGAGGAGTTACTTTTATTACCACACAACCTATAAAGCAAGGACACTTGGTGATTTGTGCAGGCTGGTCACAAAAACCACAGCAACACATGGCACCAGGTTTGGTTTGGGGGATAAATTCTGATGTGGACATAATTTGGATCACTTCTCTCCTGTACACAAGAGTACACAACACTAGCCAGTGCAGTTGTTGCATTATTTTCACAGTGTTTCACTGGTTTTTATTACAGGTCCAGGAACCCACGGTCACTTTTAGTCACTTCACCCACCCTGTGCTGCTTTGGCATGGTCTTTCAGGTTACATTAATTTCTCACACTACCATTATTCCTTATATCCTGCTTCACTTTGGAAATTGCACAGCTGCTTGGATCACTACTGAGCATGGCCTGGAGATGGGTGTCTCTGCAAACTGTGTGTGCCTTCCATGGATTTCACCTGGAGCATACCAGCCTGTGCCTAGCAGCAGATGCCTCCAGGACTGGCCAGGATGGGCACACTGGGGTGCCCACTGCTATTTATACAATTCATACGAATCACAAGGGTATGGTTCCTCCAAACCCGGCTCAGTTCCCTGGGGCTGCTGTCCCCTTCCTCCCTGCATCCTCCTGAGCCCTTTGAACCCCACTTCGTGCACAGTTTGTCAGCTTAAGGACCCGAGTGTTGAAGTTCCCCCCCTTCCCCTTCCCTCCCCATTCAAATTTCAGACACATTGGGTTTGAAACACACGCAGTGTACTGTGAATCATTCTTAATTTGAGGTCTCCAAGTTACTCAGCTCTGCGCTACAGCCTCCCACCTTGGAGACAAATGAATGCACTGTTCCTCAGCTGACTTGTCAGGAGGAGGGAGCTGAGGCGGTGGAGAAAAGAGCACTGTGCAGGGGAGGGACAGGGGGATGACTGCTCTGGCCACGGATCACGAACACCCGGGCTCACAGATTCACCAGGACACAGGAGCAGATGAGTTTTCCCTTCCAATTATGCCCCAGCTCAGTGGTTACAAACTCTGGTGTGGCAAAACTTGACTAGAGCAGAGAATTGCACTTGAAATGTAAAGAAGGGGAAGGAGCAATGCTCTACCTGTGGGATTATGTACAGATGGCTGAAGGTGAAGAATTATGGGTCAAACACCAGCTGCCAGACCCTGTCAGCTCAGGCAGAAGGCAGCAGCTCTGGGGCCCTGTGCTCCACTACACACTCACAGGGTGATAGGATGGTCCCATCCTCTCTCTGCAGTGGGTGTCTCTCACCATCCATGGCTACTCCTTAAGCTGGAGGCAGCCAGCCCCCGGGTCACCCCCAGACTGACACCCCCAGCCAAGGGAAAGGACAGGCTGCAGTTGGGGAATGTCTTGCACAAGTGGGAATGATTCCCAAAGCAGCCTCATCCCTAGAGCACCACAATGTTGTGCAGCCTGCAATGGTCCAGCTCCTCACCTGGACACTACATGGGCCCGAAAACACATCAGAGGGATGTCCCTGTCTGTGCCACAAGTGACTCCCTTTTCACTCACCACCACAAGCACAACCTCTCTTCTACTCACATACTTTCTTTGGAAAGGAAATACATACACATACTTATTGAAATAAAAATACAAACATACTGCAAAAAGCTCAATAGAGCAGCTGCAAGATGTGCTGTGGGAACTCTCCTCTCTGTGAGGACTGAGGAAGAAAGCAAAAAAATATTCCTTGCGTGGTCTCCTACCCCTTTGCACATCGACTGTGCATTGCCAGAAATACTCCCACTTGTTTACCACACAGTACATAGAACAATTTTCAGAACTTCAATGGAAAACCAAAAAGATAAAAAAACCAAGAAAAATCCAGTGACGTTGTGTCATTGCATTATTTAAGCAGCAGGAGATCTTTGGGGTATTTCCAAATATATGGAATTTTAGCACTAAATTAACATAGCCTCCATGAGTAAGTCTTGATTTTCCGATTCATTTTTTTTCCCAAGAGTGAGAGGGGAATTTTGAGATATCAAATGAAAAGCAATCTTTCCAAATCTGCATCACATGCAAATATTAAGCTCCATTAACCAGAGCTCCTGCATGTTTTCTCGCTCCTGTTTGAAACTGCAGGAGCACTGCCTCCCTTTGGATGAGGAACTGGAGGTGCTTATAAACAGATGCTTTTTAAAAGGAGCACATGGAATGTATTGCCTCAAGACTAAAACATCCTAATGTCCCCAAGAGCAGAGACCTTCAGGGATAATGGGAACGCTGCCCCCAAGTTCCTCTGAAGCAGAATCGCAATGGCCACCCCTTAGCACACGGTGGTGCTGAAGAAATGCCTTAAATTTGGGATGGGAAAGACTTGGGAGCACTGGATGAGCTTGGGGGGATGGTAGAGACTCACTCCCTGAGGTTTCCACCACAGCTGCCCTGCTTCTCCTGTGCAAATACACCACAGGGGCATATCCAAAAATCCTCAAGCCTCCCCAGCCTGAGAGGATGTTGCTGATCTCTTTCTTTAGCCTTTCAAAGCTGACTATCCCTTAACATCACAAAAAAACCCAGAAAGAAGGTAGTCCTGCAACCTGAAGGAGAAAAAGCCAGTAGGTCTTATTTTATGGGATGTCCTGTCCTAGCACAGGGAGGAGAGGATTGGAAGGACACCTGCACGTGACATCTTAAACCCTCCCTGCCCCGAGTATGTTGGTATGAAGAAGGTTTTACCACACACCATGTGCAAAATGGATCCAAATTCCTTTAAATGACTTAGAAAAGGTCAAGCAGGAGATTTGTTATAAAGCCAGGTACTAATCTCTGTTCTCCAGCACTGATGTTTTAAAACACGTATGAGACAAGTAAATATAAAGCTGATACTGAGTGAATAGAACAAAGGAGAAAGCTCTGCCTCCCAAGGCTAAGGACAGGCTCAGTGAAGGTTGATGCACAGCAAGCCTTGCATTCTGCCTGCTGCCAGGTACAGCTGGCTGCTGTTCTACCTCAAAACATCCATCCTGGCCCTAGGAAAAGCTGAAGCCAGAATTCCTGAGAAGCTGGGTAGCAGCTATCTGGGCCCAACCTGCCAGCTGAGCTTGAGCTCCCAACTTATGTTTAGACTGCAGCCTCCTGGAAGCCAGCAAGGCTTGGGCTTAACCTGACTCCAAGCCTGGCCTGAGTCCTGGCACAAGTCAAGCTGGGACCTAGCGAGATCAAGTGCCTGTGCAGAAAAAAATCATCCTGTCTGTTGGTGGTGGCACACAGACAGAAAAAGGACCTTTGGAGTTGATTCCAAATCTTCTGCCCAGCCACAAAGTTGTGACTTAATTACCATTAAAAACCAGTAACACACAGTATCTACAGAGCAGTCTCAGGACACAGGGGTGCTCAATGATATCAGGTTTGCACCTCCATCTTTTCCAAAAATCCAAAACTGGACACTTTTCCCTTTGTGTACCAAATTGTGTAATCCAGCTGCTCAGACAATCTTTGCATGGGACGAGTTTCACTGTAATTATTTTACAACCATATCACACAACTGGAAACCTGTTAAAAACCTCCATTCCCTTAGGCTGTACTTAAAAAGATTTATCCATGAATATAGTAGTAGCTGTTATCAAAATTTCATCAATTATAGAGTCCCCTTGCAGCTTAGAACCAGAACTCCACTCCCCTCTCTGTCACAACCTCTCCAGGCAGCTGCAGTGGTGGAATCACCATCCCTGCAAGTATTCAAAAATACATATGGCACTTGGAAACATGGGTTAGTGGTAGCCTTGGCAGTGCTGGGGTAATGGTTCGACTCCATGATCTTAGAGTGGCTTTACAAGGTAAACGATTCCATGATTCTAAGTTTCTTCCCTTCAAATCTGCTCAGAATTAGTTTTCAGTCCAAGCACTTGCCACATGTTACATTTGGAGCATCTTATTCAGGCTTATGGTTGTGAGAACAGGATTTCACCAAGGATTCAGGATAAGAAGCAATCCTTCTAAACTTCTATAAAGTGCCAAGGTTGCAGCACCACAGCCTCTCAGAGAGGGGATGGAATTAGAAATAGTATTTGCTGATGTTTCACAGCTGCAGAGGGACTTGCAGTGAACAGGGAAGAGGGAGTCTCCAGCTATTGAGCCATTAAGGAGAGCTTGACGTCATTCTGTCAGCCACAGAATAGCTGGAAATCCACTGTTTCAGCTGTGATGAAACTGAAGCAGGGCTCAACTATCCCTGCTGCAAATGGGGAGGACATAATGCCTCCCTAGAAAACCTCCCAGCTCCACAAAGAGCTCTGAGGCAGTCTTTGGCCTTGTGTTTTCAGTGCAGCTCCAACAGGACCTCTTGCAGCAGCTTGTTTCCAATAGAGCAATTCTGTATCACATTTCTCCCTGGGGTTGAGCAGTAGTCCTGCAAAGCCTAAACACAAATTATATTTCCAGGCAAAACAAGCTGGGTGATGTCACATCACATACCTGCTCCTACAGATCCCAGAGAGCAGTGAGAGCAGCAACGTCAGCAGCATGCAGGCAGGCACGGAGGCCTGCTTCAGCAGCTCCACGATGATACTGGCCTCCACCCCATCCGACTGCCAGTGGGTCAGCTTGATGGGCCCCTCATCGTACCTGTCTGTCATGAACAGCACCTGGCTCCTGGCCACTGTGTCAAAGATGGCTGAGAGCTTTGAGGCATCCTCTGCCCCCTGGCCAGCTGTGTCCAAAGGGGGGTGCAGATGGGAAAGCATGACCTTGCACTGGTCATAGTACACCAAGATGATTTCTTCCTCCTGAGGGTTCTTAGAATGTTTCTGAAGGGTAGAACAGCTCCAGAATTTGCTGTCTCCCTCTTTGCTTATCTGGATCCATGGCTCATGGCAGAATATGGTCTCAAGATCTTCCAAGAACTTACTGAGCCTCTCTTCTTTCTCTTGTTTGCTGTTGCTCCATGAGCCAAGCACAGAAACACTGACTTCAGTCACGCGCTGAACTTCCCCAAGGTACTGCTTCACCTGGCCAGGGATGAAGGGGAAGTGCACCACAGCAAGGATGACAGCAGAGTTCTGCTCGGAGATCCAGCGGCCGATCAGAATGCCGCTGTCTGCTGAGGAGCAGCACGAGGGAAAGAACACCTTCAGTACCATGGCAGTGGCCCTGGAGGGATGTACACCTGCCAATAAACACGAAAATTAAACTTGAAGATGGTGAGTAAACACAAGGAAAATATGAGCTGGCCAAAGCCACCTGAGAGGAGAACTAAGCATTTTCAAAAACATTAAGACCAACCACTTGAGTAATGACATTAGTTACAGCCAACAGCCATACACACATTCAGGAGATTCCTCATGATCTGCAGTCCTTGAAGTGAGGGAAGGTGAGCCTGGAGTTTCCCAGTAAACCCTTTCTCCCAGTCCTGGAAAGGTCTTTAATGGTGGTACACAGATAAGCACAGACCATCAAACCAGCCACGAGCCATGATCTGGAATTCAACCAGAGTTACATCTTGGATCCCACACTGGATGTGCTGGACCACTTCCTAGAGAAGGGACTACATCACACTGTGGTGCCTCTGGGGAGTATTTCCTGCTGCTACCAACAATCAAACACTGGTTCATGCCATTCAGTCTCCTTTACCCCCTTACAACCCAGAGATCATCTCTGCAGCAAACTCACAGAGCAACCTTGATCCCATCACTCAGCTCCTCCTGCCTCACTCCTCTCATCTGGAAATTGAGACGATCATTTTGTCAGAAGGGACAACGGTGATTAATTGAAGTAGTTTTAATTCGTTAGATTCAACAGCCTAAAATAGGAGAAGCATCTCTGCTTTATCAGTGCTCTTTATCTTTGTGCTTTTCTCCTCATCATTAAGAACACAATTCAATGGCCTTGGGAGACTTTTCCAGAAAGGAGCTTTGAGGCAGTTGACAGTGTCTCTTTAAATAAGGTGGAGGTTTCTAACAGGAATATAATTGCAGTAAGGAGGGCGCTGGCGCAGAACAGGCGGCATCCGCGCCCGTTGTCCTTTCCTGTCCTTCAGTGCTTTGTTAGGGATGTGAAAACTCTGCAGGCCCCCGAGGCTGCTCCTCTGCGAGGGACCCAGTCAGTTGGAAAGGGAACACAGAGGGTATTTACAACACGGAGAGAGCATGTGCAGCAGGAAGGGCCTGCTGGCTTTGTTTTCCTCTCCCTTAGTAGAGGAGAGCTGAGCCAGTAAAGCTCAGCACCTGGGAATTTCCTACGGCATGGAGGGATGGAGGAGCAGCTATGGGGAGTGATTAACCTTTGGGGTTAATCACTCACAGGGGTAATCTGGACATTAGTGGACACCCCATTCCTGGAAGCGTCCAAGGCCAGGTTGGATGGGGCTTGGAGCATCTGGGACAGTGGAAAGTGTCCCTGCCAATGGCAGCGGGTGGAAAAAGCTGGTCAGTAACATCCTTTCTTTGCCAAACCATTCCATGATCTGTGATGATTCTTCTGAGATCCTGCTTCCTCACAGCCTCCAGGTCTCTGAGGTTATTCCTCTGGTCAAAGAGGGAGAAATGAAGTCCCTCTGTGGCCTCCCGATCTTGCTAGGGGTTGAAGGACCTCTGGAGCAGCAAGGGCCAGTGCTGGGGGCTTTCAGCACCTGTGAACACTGTGCTTCCAGTACCACACTGCCAGCAAAATCCCTCAGGAGAGGGAAGCCTTGGGATGTACTTTGCAGTTTTGCAGTAAAAGGAAAATTCAGTCCAAAGAAAAACATGTCACAGACAGCCCCATGAAGTTTTTCCCATCGAAGGAGGGAAAGTTGTTATGAATATTGCTACAAGAGACTCTCAGTGTCTGTGCATGGCTGTCCTTAAAGGTCTGTCCATCCACTGGACATTTCAGAGAGGAACTGTCAACTGACTCTATACACACATTTATTTTTCTTTGAGATTGTTTTTAAAGATAGCCACAATCCTCTGGGAAAACTTCTCATGGAGCAGAAACACATCTCATCCTTATCTTCTCTAGTTTGTGAGTTTTTCCTCTTACGCCTTCCCCAACTTTTTAAATTAACAGAGCTTTATGTACCCAACTACTCTGGCTATAGCTCAGATCAAATGATCTGCCCTTTGGATGCTGGAGACACGGCAAAGAAGATTCTGATAGGATTTTCAGGCTGTACAAAGTATCTTGATAGCTGAAAACCTGGTTGATCAACTATTGTTATGTTAATGTGTCTCATATTCCCAAATCCACGACTTGTCATGCTTCCACCTCATTCATTTCAATAAACTGAAATATCAAATGTCATCACAGTCAACTGCTTCACTGCTGCTAATTTTAACAGAAAAATCTTACTAATGCTCATGCAGTCCCTGCTCATCAAGTGCCTAAAATCTTCGAGATCTGCCTATTTCTGCAGAAAACATCCACCTCTCCCTGACAGCACCAACGCAACGATCTCAGGTCACCAAAACAAACAAAATAACACCACCAAAAATGTGCTAATGCAACCAACAAGTGAATACCGGACCCCAGGACTGATTAATTCCAGAATTTTGTTAGAAAAGCAAAGGTGAATGGCAAGATGTGGCCATGGTCTCACTCCAGAGGCTGTCCTGTGGCCACAGGGTGCCAAGAGGGACTGATCTGATCCCACAGCAAACCCACACCTCACCATCCCATGTTCCTTGCACGGGGGTTAGGGCCAGGATATATAGAATCATAGAACCGTGGAGTTGTAAAGGCTGGGAAAGCCCCCTAAGCCCATCAACTCCAGTCATTCCCCCAGCACCACCACCACTAAACCATGCCCTCAAGTGCCACATGCATATGGCTTTTTTAACACTTCCAGGGCTGGCATTCCACCACTGCCCTGGGCAGCCTGGGGCAGTGACTGGCCATGCTTTGCGTGAAGAAATTTCCCCATCTATCTTATCTAGATACAAATTAAACCTCTGCTGGCACAACTTAAAGCCTTTTTCTCTCATCCTGTCCCTGTTCCCTGGGAGCAGAGCCCGACCCCCCCTGGCTGCCCCCTCCTGTCAGGGAGTTGTGCAGAGCCAGAAGGTTCCCCCTGAGCCTCCTTTTCTCCAGGCTGAGCCCCTTTCCCAGCTCCCTCAGCCTCTCCTGGTACTCCAGCCCCTTCCCCAGCTCTGTTCCCTCCCCTGGACGCGTTCCAGCCCCTCAGTGTTGTGAGGGGCCCGGCGCTGCCCCCGGCCCGGCGGGGCCTCCCCGGTGCCCGCGCAGGCCCCGCGCCCGGCCCGGCCCGCCCCGCTCCTACCGCCCGCTCCGCTCCGCCGCTTCCGCCCGCGGTTGCTCGGAGACGCCGCTGCCGCCGGGCCGTGCAGCGGGACGGGCCCGGCCGGCGCCGCCACCCGCCGCCCGCGTTCCGCGGTGCCCCGGCTTCCCGCTCCCGGCCTGTCGGGCCCCGCCGGCCCCGCTCCCGGCAGCGCCGCTCCCCTGGCTCGTCCCGGCGCCTTCCCGCGGGCCCCGAGAGCGGCGAGGCCGCCTGAGCCGCGCGATAAGAGCGGCAGTGCCGCCCGCCTGCCGTGCCGCCGCCCGGGCTGGAGCGGGGCCAGGGGCAAGGCCGTGCTCACGGGACACTCGGCTCCATCCCCACAGCCAGGGGCTCGGCTCCATCCCCACAGCCAGGGGCTCGCCTGTCCTCACAGGACCCCGCTGTCCTCTGTTCCCAAAATCAAGGCGCTCCGCTGTTCTCACGGGACCCTGCTGTCGCTCATCCTGCAGGCCAGACACTCGCCTTTCCATGTGGGACCCCACTGTCCTTCATCCCCAAAGCCCAAGGACTCGCCTTTCCTCCGGGAACCCTGTTGTCCCCCATTCCTGGTGAGGGGCTCGGCTGTGCTGATGGGACTCTCTTGACCCCCATCCTGATCGCCTCAGGGGATACCTGGCCCAGCAGAGCCCCACCAGTGCCAACAGGTGCCCAAGAGCTTTGACTTGTGATCTGGCACTGGGCTTGGGCCAGTGAGCTTGGGAAGGTGCTGGGCAGCATGAGAAGGTCCCACATGGAAAGGGAGACAGAGCAGGTTCAAAGTGGGGGTTGGCTAGAGAAAATGTTTAGGATTTTATTTTTGTTGTTGGATGCCACAGAATTGGAAATAAGATGGGGAAGATTTGGTTTTCTGGGAGGGAGCTCAGCTTCCTGGGACAGGACAGGCTGATCCCCCGTTTCTGCAGACCATGCAGCCCTACTCCCTGCTGCTGCCTCACTCTGCAGGGAAAGGGGTCCTGGAGGGCACCATGGCATGTCTGCTGTGTTCAGTGCCTGGTCCAGGGCCAGGAGGGGGCGAGGGCGTCTCCAGGGATCATTTGGGATGAGAGGCAGTGACTTGTGTCTGGGACATCAGAAGAGTCTGAGGAGTCCTTGAGCTCCGTGCCCACACCGAGAGCTGGAGCAGGGAGAGGAAAACGCCCGTCCCTGAGCCGGCACACCCTGCCCGCCATCCCCTGGCCCCTGCCGATAAAGACAGCGACATCTCTGAACCCTCCTCTCCAGAGGACAACAGGGCAGCTCCGGCAGTCTGAGGAGTTCCACGTTTCCATACGGAATTTACTTCGTGCAGTAGTTGTTGCTTCCCTGTAGAGGTCAGGAATGCAGCACAGAAGGAGTTACCTTCATGTTACCCTTTTCCTGAAATCTGCTGCAGACCCAGTGTTCTGTTCTCTGATTGCAAAACCCTACCTAATAGCCTGGGAATTAATTACGACAGACCAATTGGCTCAATCATGCCAGGCTGGACAGGGCTTGGAGCAACCTGATCTAGTGGAAGGTGTCCCTGCTCATGGCAGGGTGTAGATCTAGGTGATCTTTAAGGACCCAATCCAAACCAATGTGTGATTCCATGATTCTGTCATAGGGCATGGACCTCTGATATGGCCTTACCCCTCCCCTTACCTCTGATGCTCTGGCATCAGGAAGATGGGATTATGGCACATCAAAATCACATGGAGAGAGGAGAAATATTTATGTTAGCTTTGGAAAACACACAAGGAATCAAGGGTGTGGTGATAACAAGTTGGCCAAGGCACCAATGCAAGGCCAGTTCTGAGTAATTGGGTCATCTTTTACATACTCTGGTGGATTCACAGCTGGTCTAGTCCTGGAGAAGCTGGGGGCCATCAGGCAGTCAGGTCTGGGGCAATGTCCCATCCCTGGAAATGTCCAAGGCCAGGCTGTACAGGGCTTGAAACACCCTGAGATAGTGGAAGGTGTCCCTGCCATGAGATGGTCCTTGCATTCCCTCCCAACCCAACCCATTCCATGATTCTGTGAGATTCTGTGACTCATACTCCATGAATCTGTGAGAGCAGTAGAGCTCTCAGCCTGCCAACAGATGCACAGCTCAGCAGGGCTGCAGGGGAACCACCCCCCCTCCCCTCCTGTGTGTTTGGTTGGGGTCAGCACATGATGCCCCAGCATTGGTGGTTCTGTACGGGGGCCTCACACAGTACTTAAAGACTTTGACACAGTTCTCCCCTGTGTCTGCCACAAAGAGGTGCCCAGAGGAGGAGCACGCCATGCCAGCAGGCCTGCGCAGCCCTGTGGACACCAGGCAGATGGGAGCTCCATGCTCTGGGAACAAGTGGACTGTACGGCGCTGCTCGTCTGCCACGAGGACGCTGCCATCCCTGTCCACACACACCCCAGCAGGGTTGCCAAACTGGTGTCCATATTTGCTGCTGAGGGAGCAGAGGAGCTTACGGCTGCTCATGAAGACCTTGACGTCTCCACACTCCTCGCTCACCACAAAGCCTCCACTGGGCACCGGGCTGACATAGCGAGGTCCCTGCAGATTGGGGACAGAGTGGACATTGAGTGTCCTGAAGGCATGGTCCAGAGCAAAGCTGTGCACTTGGCCTTGTGCATAGTCTGCTACCAGGATCTTGCCCATGGAGTCTACTCCAATACCCCTGGGGGAACCAACCTTCCTGATCTTTATCCATTCCCTCTTGGAGAGGCTGGTCTGAGGGTTGAAGATCCAGATGGCTTCATTCACCATGTCAGCTACAGCCACCATTCCCATCCTAGTCACAGTCACATCTTCTGGCAAGAAAATGCTGCCTCCCTTGCCCGTCTGCTGGCAGGGCAGGGAGTGCAGTATATGGCCCGTGCTGCTGAGGATGTGGACCCAGGGAGCACTCTCAGCTGTCACATAGATGGAGCCATCCAGGGAGCAATGGACTCCACTGACACCCCCATAGCGGCTGCCGGTGGGATTGGGAATCTGTTGGACCAAGTCATCCTGGCAATAGTGGAGGAGGTTCTTGATGTTGTCCAGATCTCCACACAGGCTTTTGGCCTTATCTGCCAGCTGGTGGACCTGGTGCTGGGTCACCATGCCCATGCCACGCTGGTTGTGCAGCAGCGGGCTGGCTGACTGCAGTGTGTTAAATGACTTCAGCTGGAGGCTGTAGATGGTTTTCAGAAGCTTCTGCTTTAGCTGGCTGGTCTCCATGACAAATCTCTTGTCCCTGTTTGGGGGAAGCAGTTAGGACCATGACTGTCCCTGCCTGTTGCCATCTCTGGGGCTATGCTATGGTGCTTGCTATCCACCCAGGGTCAAGGTGTTGGTGCTAGTCTGGATTCACTTCATGCCAGTGAGACCACATCCTTTATTGCCAGCTAATTACGAAATAAAGGCAAACAAGGACCATGGTACAGAAATACAAGGGTCAGCAAACTGGATCTGCAGCTGGACGAACAAGCCAAAAAGGTCCAACAGCTCCAACAACAACAACTGGTGTCAAATGTGGCCTGAAGATTGAAGTGTATGAACACTTCACAATATGTGTGAACATATTGAATGGGACCCCAGACTCTCCAGTTCCTGAGATAGTGGCTTCTTTCAGGTTTTTAACATTTGTTACCCCTATTTTCTGTGAGCCTCATGCCTCCAAACCAAGCTCAATCCATAATAACACTTCAGTCACTCAGGGTGACCATTCCTCGACTCCCACATGTCTAATGTCCAATGTGGCCAGTCATGTCTTTGCTCAGGGCAGCCCCTTTTACATCCAAATAGTTTCATAGAATCACACAATATCCTGAGTTGGAAGGGGCCCACAAGAGTCACTGAGTCCAGCCCCTGGCCCTGCACAGACACCCCAACAATCCCACCTTGTGCATCCCTGATGTCCAAACACTCCTGGAGCTCTGGCAGCCTCGGGGCCGTGCCCAGCACCCTCTGGGGGAAGAACCTTTCCTGATATCCGACCTAAACCTCCCCTGGCACAGCTCTAGCAGTTCCCTTGGGTCCTGTCACAGGAAGCAGAGATCAGCACATGCTGATCAAGTTACTTCTGAAGTAGCCAAGAACTTGTCAGGAAGAAAAGGGAGGTTCTGCTCTGAAAGATACATTCAATCTTCACCATTTTTTTCAGGCAAGAGAGTCACCAAGAGAATCCAAATTTCTCTTTTGCACACTCTCCTTCTGTTTTAAAACCAGGCAGTGATGAGAGCCCAGCTTTGCTATGTTCTCCCCAGTCCTGGCTGGAGCATGGCTTATAAAACACAGCCAGGAGCTGGCAAGGGAAATGTTAAGAGAAATATGACCTCATTAAAGCTCCTGGAGAGGCACAGCTTTACTTTGCTTTAAATGTGATTATAATTAATATTATAATGGCCACGCTTGGCTGTTTTGAGTTGTTTGCAAGTGATCACTCCACTTTTATTGCCCCATGTCCCATGATTGCCTCGATCATGTGCCCTGTGCTGCTCACAAAAGCGACATTTCCCCAGACCACAGCTGAAGAAAGCTAAGGCATACAGTGCCAAATGGTCCTTCTCTTGTGCAAATACTGCATCTAAAAGCCATCCCTGAATAATTGCAGAGTTACCAAATACAAATATGTAATGGCAGGGATGGAAATCCAATTTCTGCTGTTTTGGGAACAGCTTTTTCTTCCCCATGGTGGTTATACATTATGTCTCCAGCAGCAGACATCTGCTGTGGTGGAAATGAGCCCTCCATATCCCAGGACTGCTTGACAGGGTCCTCAATCCAAGAAGCTGGATTTTACAGATGGGGAAACTGAGTCAGTGGCAGGAAAACAATGTGCCATCCGCCCCACACCCCTCATCAGGAGCATCCGCCTCACTTCCTGGGCACTGGACACCCAAAGCTGCCATCAACCTTTGATGGTGTGTCCTGAGCCTAGCTTGAGCTGCTTGGGGTCCAAACCCAAGAAGAGAGCTCTGACACTGTCCCCAACATTGCTCAGGCCAACCACCTGTGCATACAAGCCCAGCAGCACAGATCTTGTACCTTAGTCCTGCTGTCCTGGGGCTGCCGGTCCTTCCCTGCCAGCGCTGGCCTCCCACCGGCTCTGTCCTGCTCCCTGGCCGGGCTCAGGACAGTGAGACCCAGGGATGTTGTGTTGTTAGTGACGGGCAATTGCCCTGAAGTCTGGGTAAACACAAGAACTCCTTGTGCTGACAACCAGAAGCAGCAAGACAAGGGCTGATCCACATGGTTTTTACTCCCTGCTGGTCTCCCGCCCAGAGACAAGGTGCCTTTCCCCCAGGATCAGTCTGTCCCACCTGTCTGCTCCTGCCAGAGGGAGGTACCCAGCTGCACGGGGCATTTGGGGCTTTTTTGTAGAGGCAAAAGGGCTGATTTGCTGCTCCTCACCCTTGGCAGCTGCTGGGGTGGGACAGGGATACTCACATGAATCAGGGTAAATCAGGGCTCCTCGCAGCTTTACCACTGCCTCCCCATGTTCCCCAGCCTGGGCATGGTTCAGGTGTGTGCCTCAGTCTCCCCACTTACAAAAAGGAGACTGGTGAATTTTGCCACATCAGGCTTTGAGGTGCAGTGATGGAGAAATGTCTCTAGAATAGGCAGATCAGCCAGGACTGCTGGAACAGCCCCCCTTTCCATCTTCACACTGCTCAACCCAGGCTCCCCACAACTGGACAAAACCATGCTTGGAGTTGATGGTGGCATTTATTAGTTCTGCCCAAACAAAGAGAGTCAAGAGTAAAAGCAGAGTGAGCAAGAGCAGCGTGGAAGGGGCTGCTCAGAACCTGCCCTACCTCCCTGGCAGTGATTCCTGGCAGTGCTTCCCTCTCCACCTTTGCCTGCAGTGAGCTCAAACCACGCACCTTAAACCTGACCAAGTCGTGAAGAAGTTTGTGTCTGTTCATTATTCAGATGGGCCAAATTTGAGTGAAGTTTTGGTCAGACTCAGCCACCTTTTGGGATGCTTGGAGGGACTGCATGTGCCTGACTAAGGGGACCCTCTGGCTGCAGGAGCTGTGAGATGGGGATGTGCCCCCAAAGCCCCACGGCTGGGTGCTCTTCTCACCAGGTGTTTAGGGCCCTTATGGTCCTGGATCAATGTATCCCTGAACCTCACACTGCCTGCCTCAGACCTATTACCAGCCAAAATTACAAAAATAACTTGACATGACAAGTGCTGGGGCCACTCCATCCGAGCCCCAGCAGGACAGGAGGCAGCTTCAAAAACCATCTCCCAGGGCAACAGGGTCTGACCTTTTGTTTTGCTGTTGTGTGCTCCATCACCAGGATAAACAAACACAGCCTGGCCCTGGGGCTCCCATTCACCTTTCCAGGACCGTAGCTCTGTCATAACCTGTTCAGAAGCCATCCTGGACCCCAGGAGAGGCCTGTGTCATGGCAAAGCCCTGGCACAGCCCATGCCCACGCCAGCGCCGGGAGCTGCAGGGTTCAAGGACATGGGCATGGTCAGCCTGCTGCTGCCAGAGATGAACCAAGGGAAAGAGAGGCTGGGTTCAGTTCAGGCTTTCCTGGAGCACATTCCTTGCAGGTAAAAATGGCAAACTTCATCCCTGTGGCTTTTCCTCCCCTGGCACAGGGGTCAGCAGCTCTTGGTTGTGTGTCCACAAGGAACTCACAGGCCCTGGGTCTCTGCCAGTCCCTGTGCCCAAGAAGACAGGCACAGTGCCTGCCTGGAACACAAGTGTGCAGGAAGCCAGCAGGAGAGCCCACAGGAGGAGTCAAGGTCATTGCTACCAAGTCACAGAGTTGTGGGAAAACAACCCAAACCCATCCACTGAGATTATTTCCCCACCTAGAGCTCTGTGACTGGGGAGAGTGTCAGTCCGGTGTCAATTGTAGGGCTGCTCCTGTGGCTCTGGTCCCTGCTGGACACCAGAGCACTCCAGCCCCGAGGATCCCAGCAGTCCCCCGCCTGCTCCACACCGCAAGAAGGTTGCGGCCAAGCGCTGGGGTGATTTGATGGGAGCGAAAGGGAGATGAGGAAACGCGGCCGGATGGCAGCGGGTGTCGGGTTGGGCCCGGGCTGGTCATTGCTTTGTGCGGACACCAGGCGGCCCCGTCTGTCCGAACAACCGGCAATGATTGGCACTGATCATCAGCCAGCTGGAATGCACCGTGTCTGTGTCTTTGCGTGTGTGCAAGGGAAAGTCGTGTCCCAGCACCGTCCAAGAGGTTTCGGGGGGAAGCTGGAGCATCCACTGCACGTTTACACACAGAAAACACGATCCTCAGCCTAGGCAGAGCCTCTGTCCTGGCTGCACTCCCACACTGTCCATGGAATGCTTGCAGTGTCCAGCTGGGAACATGCAGGGACTTGGGGACACACCTCTTGCAGACTGAGACTGAGCTGGGGCTTCCTAAACTTGGTTCTATGGAGATGAGAGCAAGAACTCAGCTCCTCTTCAGGCATCGTAGAAATCCCTCCAGAAAGGAAAGCTGTAATTACTCTGGTCCCTAAAACTGATGTGGCCAGCATGGACACCCCGGAATCCCTGCTGCTGGTTAGCTAACCAATGGAAAAGATTCTCCGGAGTCTGATAAGGGCTCAGCTGACGCCTCAGCTTCTCCCTTTCTCCCTCCTCCTCCTCAGCCTCCCTTGCTCACAGGGCTCACAAGAGGATTAGGGAGTTAATCCTCTTTGGGACATCAAGCTCCCTGTTGAGCCTGCTGGGAAGGGCCAGAAGCTGTGAAGCACAGCAGGGCACTGCCACAAACCCCGTTCATGCCAGGAACAGCTCTGTGGATGAATCCCTGTGCTGGTGGCAGGATCCCCATTGCTACCCCCTTCTCCACCTGGCGAGGGCACAAGCCTGTCCCCAGGGCCATAGGAGGTGGGTAATGGTCCCACCAGGTTGTCTCCCCACCCTATCCTGGTTTCTCCACCTGGTCTGGAAGGGTGGTGGGATGAAAGAGAAGCATCCCCCTGTCCTGGCGGGGAACAGCATCCCAAGGCCTCGCAGGAAGTGGGAAATGAACAGAAGCTTTCTGAAAACACAGCTCCATGCTCAGACCACTGAGGAGAGCTCTGGAGGTCCAGAAGCTCGGTAGAATCCCAGGGGCATGGCTATTACTGGAGCAAAGTGATGTACTGGAAACATTCCCTTATGGATGGTACTGAGCCAGCTGGTCTTCCACGAGGGATTGTTCTGACTCTTCCTCTGGAGAGAAAGTGTGCAGGCTGGCACTGCTGCTGT